GTAGATGTTGCTATTCAAATTTCCATTGATAAAATAATTATCACTTTTATGTACTTTCTATGAACTTCAATGACCTTATGTGATAGGTCGTTAAACTCGTTTTAAGCTCCTCTATCATGATACAGAAACAAAAACATACCGATCCATTTGAAAAAATGGAGGTGACCTTCAAATGTCCAAAGTACCGCCACCTGCAAAAAAACTATTATCGCTATCGGATGGCCCCCTTCGTACTGTGCAATTTTATTTCAGCAAATATTTCTGTGAACCTTATAGTTTCGAAGATATCTGTGGTGCTAATAGTTATTGCCCCACCCTGTATATATATATATAAATCAGTCTACGGCTAACGTGAGCATAGTTAGTAAAATGGAAAGGTGACCTGTTGTGAAAAACAAAAACCGTGTGCTGTTGACTCTAGAGAAGCAGTGAAAGAATATGACCTCTTTGATAGTACTGAATAGGCATGAGAGAATAAAAAAAAACGCAAAAACAAAAGAAAAATCTTACCGTGAAGTAGAAGCCAAATCATAAGTTTTAGAAGATAAAGATCTAATATTGCGCCTAGGAGAAGGCATCCATCTTGAAGAATTATAGGAGTAACCATGAAAGCATAATATAACATAAGATTGACATAATACAAAACAAAATATTGTATGCTGAACACAAAATACATGGCATATTAAATCAATAAGAAAAATCAAATTCTTGAAGATCATAGAGGTCAAAAAATAAAAGTGATAATTTGTAATAATATACCGAAATGATTAACTCTTTGCAGTTATAATACTTTCTAGCATAAGCATTCATTTGATCGAATAAATTTTCATCTACATAATAAAGTAATAGATTGTTTTTTTCTGCTTTACTGAAAATATTCTAAATCTTCGACTACTAAGAGTTAAAATATTATTCAATTTTGTACGTAGTACAATTTATTCCATGGTTAGTACATTATATTAAATTTGTATATATATTTTTATACGCACAAGCACACAATTTATATAAATAAAATGATAAACTTCTTTGTTATATTTTACTTTCATAAAGGTTAATTAATTAATTAATTAATTTAGTAATTTATTTATGTTTGGGTGAAGAATATTTGAGATTCAAATTTTGGCCTTTTTATATATTTAAACATTAAAATTGATATTTAAAGTAAAATAATTGGATATAAGATAACATTGATTAAAATTAATATCAATATAACATAATGTACGTCTGTACATAAATTGTATTCTACAAAAGCACATCGTACATACATTTTTATATACATACATAGCATAAATAAGAGTATGTGTACATAGATGACTTATTAATGGTGCTAACTCATATATTGAAGTCTCGTAATATTTTTATTTCAAAAGTAAAGATGAACATAATTGAGCATGCATATATTTATTTCAATAATGCATACACAAAGTTGAAGAGAAGGAATGCACCAAGAGATTTGGATTCAGCCAAAGTATTGTAATCACATTTTTCTACCAGATTTTCTTCCATGCTTCTTATATCTGTTGCATAAGAATGAAACTAACATTTAGTAAACTACAAAATAAAACTAATAAATCTGTTATAAAAGGAACTACAATTTGAATGAGAATCTAATATTTTACATTAAATATATAAGGGTAACAACTCAATGTGATTTAACGTTGAAGAGCGAATTTAACGTTAAAAGCTGATGTTTTTAAAAGATAAGAGTTCTTATGACAATAACAGATATACACTCTTGCATTGGAATTTGTTAAATAATATTTATTTGTTAGTAGATTAGCGTGTATGATATATGAAGCAATGTACATATGTAAAATTTGACTTCGATTATAATAGGATTACGATTTTATATAAGTAAATACATTATACATTTCTAGATCTGTTATATAGCAAAAAAAAAGTCACAAATTCTAATGCAGAGAGTTCCTTATACATTGTTACATAATATTAGCTTTAATTTAAAGCTAATAAATGTAATAACGTTTTTATAAATAATGAAAATATATTGTCTAATTAAAAATTATGAAACTAACCTTCCTGATGCATCAGGCAAAGCCAATTGCTTGTAATCAGGACGACGTCTATTGTAGTTAGGATATGAACTATGATGTGGTCCAGCAATTGCACCTGCCGATCGTCTTGTACAAGATTCCCACTCGTTGTTGAAACTCTCAGCTTCATCTGGAGACAAAATTGAATATACATTTAAATAATGAAACATAGTAGTTTTGAATTTTTTATACGAAAAGTATGTATAATTTTGATTACCTTCATCAAGATTAATGAACTCTTCGTGTTCTTCTTGCTCTCCGTTATGAAGGTTATGTTCCCTTTCACGAATATGGGCTCTATCTCCAATATGATGACCGATAGCCATTTTCTTCGTTCCAGTTCTTGTATCACATACAGTTTTTTTGGTTTCTTTTACTCCACCGGGTGCAGTTCTTGTAGACATTGTTTCTTGGTAAACTTGCGGACGTCCATCTGCACCACTGGCCATAGTTGTTACAGAACTACTCGTAAAGGAATGACAATTTCCATTTGATGCCAAATTATCCTGTAATATTAACATTAACAAAAACCTTAGTAGTAGATGTCCCGTATACACTATATTCAAATATTTTAAGTAAATAGTATAAAACTTACAAAATTAGTGAATAATCTATTAAAGTTCATAGTTGGCATCGTTGGAAAAGCAAAGGGCATCATTTGCATTTCATTATGATGTATCCCACTTCGTTGTTGAGAATCGGTCAACGCATTCTGACCCATCATTCCAAAAGGATCAGTAAAAAGAGAGTTCATTATGCTGTTCATCTGCCTCATGGTACGCATATGAGATCTATTGTCAGGCAAAAATAATAATATTGAATAATCCTTCCATTTTAACAATTTTCTCAAATATTAGATCCATTGAAAAATCTTGTATTATTTAAATTAATTGACATGTTTCGTTAATATAAAACAATTGAAAAGATAATAACATTAAAAACAAAAGAACGTAATATCAGCTATCAACATTAGTTAATAGTATCAAAATGATTTTTTTTTGTTTCAACGGCAAATTATAACGTATATAAACTTTAGAAAAAAAGGAGGATGAAAAAAAGGAGGATAAAAAAAAAAGAAAAAAGATCAAGAGAGACGTGTCGATGTCCTCTGGAGTATAATTTTTGCATTAGTTCTACAGTCAAAGGAAAAATTTCAATCGATTTTTACAATTCGTAGATGCATGCAGAAAAATCGTTAAAATAATAGTATTAATATACAAACCCAAATATAGGATCATCGTCGAAATCGCCCATTAAAGATCCAAACAAAGACATTTTGAATATTAAATGATCGTTAGATTATATTAAATAAACAATTATACTTGGATTGATTGCAATATGTAATGCTCGGTTACGCGTATAAACCAGAATATTGAATTTCTGAAGTGAGTAAACTCGAATTCGTCGAAAATCTCGTTGTAACTAACTTTCACGAAATTTCTAGAATCTATATACCATATTCTGTACGTCTTCTATACTGTCAAGCGTACAATAATTGACTAGGGAAACCAAGGTCTATTCAATCTACTACCGATAGTTCGATTATCGTTCCTCATGAACTGCACAGGAAATTTTCTCGAACAAGAAACAATATTACCAGATGTATTTTATTTGAATAGTACATATGTGATACAAAATCAAATATTTTTTGTAACTTTTGCTTTAGAATGTTAAACTTTACATACTAATTTAATATCAAATGAAATATTTCATTCTAAAGAATTTGGATAAATAGATAAATTTGTGAAATATTATTTTTATATTATTGTCCAAAAATATTCCCTAGACTCGTATCATCTGATGAATGAGGAAATATAGTTAACAAGGATAATACATCTTCGACATTTTTATATTTTATAAAGCTTACTACTGTTTAAATAAATATTTTGTTAAACTTTTTTGGAAGAGTTTACATATTGTAATCGATAAAGTTAACAAATATGATTTCAATCGATGTGCATCAATAAAATGTCACGTTTTAGTATTTTTCTTGCAAGTTTTCAAATTGGTACAAATATATGACGACTTTTACGTGATTGGTCTATGCATTTGCCGCGAAGAACACGTGATTTTAAATTTAGATTGAATCGATATTATGCTATGAAAATACAAATTTATAATTAATTATTTAAATAAATATATAAATGTTATAGTCTTCCTTATTATAGTTCATTTTTTGTAATATGGTTTGTTTGTTTTAATAATTTCATTAAATTATTATTTATAATAATGTTATATATTATATTAATGAAAAACTCGTATCCATTAATAAATATAGATTTATCAATGAGAGAGATAATGTGGGTAATCTATTTAATTATATTATTTAATTTGATTTAAAAGTAAACGCTTATTAAATTTAATATTGCCTTGTATTCAATGATCAGTAATGCAATGTCAAATGCATTGATTATTTTCTGTGACTGGCGAAGCTGCATATAACAAGTAATAAAAGTTGTATGAGATATTAATTACAGTTATTTGTTTATACATAAATGCAAGTCTACTTTATTGTATGAACATGTGGAATTGTGAAATTTAAATGTATGTTGTAATAAATGCAAGAATATCGAATATGAGAGATCTTATGTATAACCTCTTATTAGGTATACATCATGTACATGTATTTGATTAATTTATATAGCCGATTAATCTCATAGTTTTCAACTAATTAAAGAAACATTTACGATTTTTTATTGTATAATGACTACTTTAAGTGGTTTCATGGAATTCTTCCAAAAGGGAAAGGTAAATTATAAATATCTTGGTTTGTATTAAAATTATTTTTTATAACCTAAAACTAATTTACTTATTGAATCGGATATATAATTGTGTAAACAAATATTTGATATAAAGCATTAATATTTATCACATATATTATATTTAATAACTAATTTTATATATATAACATTGTTATAGACTTTTAGACCAAAAAAAAGGTTTGCTCATGGAACATTACGTTATTCTTTACATAAACAAGCTCAAGCTTCGCTTAATTCAGGCATTAATTTAAGATCTGTAGTAAAATTACCACCGAAAGAAGATCTCAATGATTGGATTGCTGTTCATGGTATATGCAAATTTGTATTCTATTAAAAAATAATTTAAAAGTATGATTATCTTGTACATGATGTATAAGTAATTATTTAACAATTAGTTGTAGATTTTTTTAATAGAATAAATCTTATATATGGTACTATATCTGAATATTGTGACTCTGCATCATGTCCAATAATGAGTGGTGGAGCACGCTTTGAATATTTATGGGCAGATGGGGAAAAATATAAAAAACCGACTGTTCTTCCGGCTCCTCAGTATGTTACACTTCTTATGGATTGGATAGAAATGCAGATAAATAACGAAACTATATTTCCTGTGTCAACAGGTATATCATTTATAATATATATATTGTCTTTTTTCTTATGTAAATCTATGGAAAAATAATATAACAGTTATTTATTTTATTTCCACATTTTACATTTTTATTGTAGATGTGCCATTTCCAAAAACTTTTGTACCACTGTGTCGTAAAATCTTAACTCGTCTCTTTAGAGTATTCGTCCATGTATACATCCATCATTTTGATCGTATAGTAGCTATAGGAGCAGTAAGTAAACTAAGAGTTTTAATATAATGTAGTAGAGCATTGATTTGAATAAATTCATTTTATAATATTTTTTAGGAGGCACATGTAAATACATGCTACAAACATTTTTACTATTTTGTAACAGAATTTGACTTAGTAAATACGAAAGAGTTAGAGCCATTAGCTGAAATGACTTCTAAAGTCTGTAAAGATACAGCTTCGCCAACTCAAGCAACTGTGCCATCAAATAATCATGCAAGATAGTTATATTGATATTATACTGCGTATAAATAAAACTTAATCTCCAATTATAATAATGAACAAAGACAAAATTTGCATAAATTGTTTCTTATGAATCTCAACAAAATTCAATTGTATATTAATTATTTCTATTAATTAAATTTCTATTTATGAGGCGTAATATTAAAAGTGCAACACACACACAATTTTTAATAGTATTTAAAGTGGTGTCATATAATTGAATTTATCTTTGATATAAAGTTCAATTTTAAATGTAATAATTTTGTAAATATTTATACGTTTTGTATTTTAATTATATATATATTATTTGTGTATTGTATTTAATACTGTGTCTAAATACAAAGTCAATTTTTTAGAACTATATGAAATACTTTATGAATTATTCATTTATAACTTTCTATTATTTATAATTCTATTTATTTTAAATACTGTATTTGATAAATTGTTTATATAAATACATAAGGAAATGTGTCTTATCACAGGCATTTAAAATCAAAAGATGGTGTCGGAATTTATTAGCAAAGCATGAAGATGATACTTCTTTTTACATATGATAAATATGTAAAAATTGTTGTTGCATGCGATTATATATATTCAATTAATGTCTTCCATGTAATTTATATATTTTATAGAGATATTTTATTTCACTGCATTTTGATGATAGATGAAGAGTAACATTACAAGGTATTTTAGAATTTAATTGAAAAGCAAAATTTAAAGATATCGATTAAAAGAAATATCCAAAGATCTTCGAATTTTTAAATAGAAGATTATTACATATTGTGAATATATTATTAACAAATTTAAACTAAAGGATACATCGTGAGCGGCGACTCTTTCATTAAATATTAATAACTTTATACACGCATCATGTACATGCGAGAACGAATAGTAGTATAATCTGGTAAGTTTTCTACTGGACCAACTGCAGCAATTGCTGGACAAGTATCATAAATATATTTCATCCCTACATCCCTAATGGTTTTGGCAGTGACACTCTAAAACAGATACATTATAGTATAAGTCTTCTTGATATTTTCAATTCATTTATATATATATATATATATACCTCTATCCTCATTTCGAGTTCATGTAGTGGAATACGTCGATTATAACAAAGCATTTGACGACCAATATCTTCACAAATTGCAGTGGTTCCATCGAGTTGTAATAGCATATTTGTTTTAAGAATATTTTTTGCACGTGCTACTTCTTTTTCTGTAACGGATGTACATAACCGCATCCATTCTCTTTGAACACTCCACGAAAATTCTTCGCACTTCATTGGATCGCAAACAAAATAAATACCCCAAAGTCCAGTATCCTAAAATTTATAAAATAAAATTAATAAAAACCGATTAAATAGATAAATGCTTAATTTGATTACAATAGTAAATATTACCTTATAACAAGTATTAAAACTTTGATAACTATGGCATATTCCATCTTCTGTACTTTCTCTGGCTAGATTGCTAGCATTATTTATTCCACCTCCCTGACTACGATCCCATGCCCCCATAAGGGTATTTGCAACCATAAGAGGAATGTTATCTGCATCAGCCCAACCTACACCTAAAAAAGATTGCAGAAAGATGTAATAAACAATATTTAAGCACACTAACAGCATGCATATACATATCGTATATGTATATCAGGATTTGTCTATACCTTGAATTGCTATAGCAACATGTGCAAGTGGAATACTATCATCACGAACTCTTATTTCTGAGCCAGTATATCTGTTTGGAAGTTTGTAAGGTGGAATTTCAGTATATTGTGGTTGAGACATTTTGCTAAAATATTTATTTGCCAAATCTACCAATTGTTGATGTTCTACACCACCAGCACCAGCTAAAACAAATCTATAGAAAAAAGTTCATTATAAATCATATTAATTATTAAGATAGTTGGGAGAATTACCTTGCTGGACCATAATGAGTTTTTACATAATTGATTAGATCATCTCTTGTAATACTTTTAATATTTTCAGTAGGTCCAAGTATTGTTCTTCCAAGTGAAGTGCCTTGATAAGCTGTAGCATGTAAATGATCAAATACAACCTCTTGAAGATTTGTTTCAACTTCTTGCATTTCTCTTAAGATAACACCACGTTCTCTTTCAATTTCACTTTCACCAAGCTTTGAATTTTGTATAATGTCACTGAGAATTTCAATTGCTTTTGGAACATCTTGTGAAAGACATTTAGCATAAAATACAGTCTGTTCACGACTAGTATATGCATTAAGATGAGCACCCATATTTTCTATTTCTAATTCTAAATCAGTTTGGGAGCGTTTTGTAGTGCCCTGTTTCAAGTAATTAATGTATTTATTTGATTGATCATATAGAATGAATCTATATCTCAAATATAATATACCTTAAAAGCCATATGCTCCATAAAGTGTGCAACACCATTATTTTTATCATCTTCAAATCGACTACCAGAATCTATCCAAAGACCGACAGTAGCTGTTGGTGCACCACTATCTTCGCTAGCTATTCTCATGCCATTGTCTAATAATGTGACATTGGTTGCTGGTTGATTGACTAATATTTCTTTCAAAGAAGCAGCAGTAGATCTCCATTGTTTTGGAATCTACAAATAAATGACAATATAATTTAACATTTTAAATGCTTTACTCTTATTATTACGTAAGACAACTATAACAGAAAATCAATTTTTTGTCATTATTAACAATGTATTTCTAATTAATAGTATCGCAATAATTAATAATACTTTATATAAATGTTACGTCTCTTACCGTAACAATATTTGTTTTATTAGAATAATTTCGCAAGACAGAACCAATTTTCAACAGACGAGTCGCCATTTTTACGGTGTTACTGTCTTCTTTACAGAAAGAAGACAGCTAATAATACATGTGACCAGCTTTCTTTGATCTAAATCAAAAATTACTGTCGATAAATCTGGGTATTTTTGTTTTCTGTTACTAGTTCGTTTTAATGTCTGCGCATGCGCAGTAGAACTAGCGGGAATTAAAGTTATATATGAAAAATATAAATCGAAGAAAAGTTGAATTTACAAGTATTAATACCTGTAAATACTTATACATAATAGAAATTTACTGTGTCTAATACGTAGAGGAGGGCTAAAAAGTTCTGAATACAGTATGCGGAGGACTGTATATAATTATATAATATTAAAATATAAAAGTTTTAAATGTTAAGCAGTGTGTGAGAATTATTTGAAGATAATTCTTCATAATTGTTTGAAAAAAAGTTGTACCAAGAAATTGATTAGATTTTCGAAAAGACAATTTCATTTTACATAATATCTAACTTGAAATTTCTTTTCTATGTAATATTCTGAAAGTAGCATGATACAGGTCAGCAATTTCTAATCTCATCTGTGATGTACTCTACAATAGCTCGTAAAACGTAACTCCAGTGTTTACTACATATAGACAGATATTACTGAAAGTTAGTGAGATTATTAGAAAGAGAAACTCACAATTCAGTAGTGCAATTTCGTCGTATGCACTTAAGAAGATTGAAAAGAAAATGAAATTGACAAGGAAATATCGATTATTGTATTTGAAAGAAAATGCCAATACAATGAAAAAAAATTCACAGTCAGTTGTTGTTTTCAGCACCTCTCAAGTCCTCTTGAATTTTTTCGAAATTCGTTTCTTCCTAACTCATTAACGTGAACTTAATAAATTTGATATAAATAAAAATGAGAGTTCATAATTCTCGTGATGTATCTCGTAGTGAGTAAAATGAAATAAAATCAAATGTTAGTATCATGATTACGTAGATATTTTAAAAAATAAAAATATTACAGAAAGAAGAAAAGCGATTTGTCAATGTTTAAAAGAAAAATTCAAGATCTACTGCGAGAATACGACGCTACATGGATTCCGTTACGTGACGGTTCATCAATCAACAATAATTGAAAGCGTGCTTTGGTTGTTGGTAAGAAATTTGATCAATTTCAAAGTTATCGTACATGTAGGATATATTTCATTGTCTACAGGTTTGCATAATGAGCATTATTTTTTCTATCATCCTGATGATGAGACTTTGGCATAATTATGATGCTAATCCAACATCCACTGTCATAAGTACAAATAAACCTATATGGAGCATATATTTTCCTGCTGTTACTATTTGTAATAACAACAAAGTTTATAATCCTCATGCGAAAATTTTCGGAAATATATTGTAAGACCTATTCGGATGAAATGTTTATTAATCGGTGTTGAATTTTCATCGGAGTTTGTAAATTTAATATGCAAATAAAGCTAATCGATTGAAAATATTCCATTTGAAAGAAAAAAAAAATGGTTTCTCATTCCAACGCAAAAATTAAAAACGAATTATTTTTCCGATGAAAATTTATCGTTATTTATTTTATTTTACGATTATTGAAAATAACGTATTCTCGTGTTTTTATTAAATCGAAAGATCTAAACACGGTATAAACCATAGTCAAAGTGAAAAGTTGTTCATTTCGTTAATGAAACTGACGCGTCCAGATAAAATTGACGTCGACAATTTAACAGCGACACGAGCACTTGAAGTTCTTGGATTTACAGTTGACAGGCTCATGTATGAGGTAATAATTAAAAATATGTATAATATAAAGGAAAAGATAATTAAAGATTATAATTTAAACGTTTGGTCGTCGCAGTTGATGCAACCCTGTAAATCAATGCTGTTGAGGTGCGCTTGGCTTGGACAAAAACTTAATTGCAGTGATATTTTCAAGGCTGTTAAATCCAGAGAAGGCTATTGTTGTGCCTTTAATTATCATTATTATTTGGACCGATTATATGGGTATTGATAACGAATTATTTTTCTAAGTACGAGGTCTGTCCCAAAAGTATCCGACCTACCTCCATATTTCTCCCCCGAAGTTACTCTTGGTCGTCTGGCTTATGACATCCTTTAAAGTAGTCCCCATTTGATTGAATAACACGCTCCCAACGCCCTTTCCACTTTTGAAAGCAGTCCTGGTACTCGTTTTTCGGTATCGCCTTTAAAGCGTTCGTCGCATTTTGCTACAATTGCAGCAACGAATTTGTATTAAATTTTGCTTTAAACTGGAAAAGAGTTGTGCAGAGACTATCGAAATGATGAAGATAGCATTTGGGAACGAGTGTATGGGCAATACGCAAATAAAAGAGTGGTATAAACGGTTCAAAGATGGCCGCACATCTGTTGATAGTGACCCACGCTCTTCGGCGACCTTCGACAGCAAAAACAAATGATAACATCAAACGTGTGCTACTTGCAATCAATGAAGATCGTCGATTGACTGTACGAGAACTAGAAAATGACCTTGGAATAGCGAAAAGTAGTGTTTGGAGGATTTTAACTGAAGATTTGCAGATTTGCGATAATGCGCCAGCACATGCATCGAACCTTGTGCAGCAATATTTAAGTAAACATCGTGTTGTATAGCTTCGTCAGCCTCCGTACAGTCCCGACACAGCTCCCTGCGACTTTTGGCTGTTTCCAAAATTGAAATTGTCCCTTAAAGGACACCGATTTGACGATATGCAAACGATTAAAACTAATGCGACGAACGCTTTAAAGGCGATACCGAAAAACGAGTACCAGGACTGCTTTCAAAAGTGGAAAGGGCGTTGGGAGCGTGTTATTCAATCAAATGGGGACTACTTTAAAGGATGTCATAAGCCAGACGACCAAGAGTAACTTCGGGGGAGAAATATGGAGGTAGGTCGGATACTTTTGGGACAGACCTCGTATATCACTAATAATAATATGTAATATTATTTGTAACATTTGTCGATAGATACGATAATTACGACTTAAAAAATACATCTGAAGATAGCGATCGCTCTAACATACCATCAGATGAGTTACCAGGAATTGGAGAGATTCAGGTATATATCAAATCCTACGATTTGATAAAATGCAAGCAAACGTTATAACAGTTGTAACATGAGAAGCATTAATGTCGTCAATTTAGAAAGTTCCTGGATCAGGGCGCGATGTAGGTTTAGCAGTAGCCTTGAATATCGAAGCTGAACATTACAAGAGTTCTAATACCCCTTTCGCGGGTGCCACCGTGTTAATTCACGATCCACACGATTATCCGGATATTGGGATTCATTCGATTACTGTATTGCCAGGACATACCATAGGGGTTGGTATTTCTGGTACGACGACGAAAAGCTCCAATAATTTACGTCAGCTTCCTTTAATAAAACGCATGTGTTTCTTTGAAAACGAGGTCTCTAATACTTTATATATATTAATTGTACTTTTATCAAGCATAAAATACAACATACTCATAAATTGACGTGTTCTAGGTGAAGGGTTTGAAAAATTATAGCTTTCAATCTTGCGTTTCCAATTGTATCTATATGCGCGTGCATAAATATTGCGGTTGCTTGCCATTTTATTACCCGAGTAAGTATAACGATCGATCATAGGATTAAGGCTGTTTATTACACCTGGTTTTACATATCATTTTAAATATGAAGGTACATGTTATCTCTTCTTTTTGATTTCAGATGAAAATAGTAGGACTTGCTTTCTTACGGACATAGATTGTATTTTGAATCATCGAAGTAAGAAAAAAAAACAAAAGAATAAATAAATACTTATAATAGAGATAAGATTTTGTTATTTGATGAAAATAGAACGATAGGATTGAAATTAATTGGAATTAAACTTGGTTGAATGTAAAACAACAATTGTTGAACAGCTAGCTATAAAGGATATTTCCTTACGATTATAGGAACTCTTTCGACGTATGAAACATCGTTTAACAGCGAATGCAATTGCTTGCCACAATGTACTGATACGTTTTACGATGTCACATCGGAGAGTATACCCGTTCAAGATGTCGGATACAATTCTGAAATAACGTAAGAAAGACATCAAATTGCTTTCTTATCGACTACTACTACCGTTTCCACAAATCCAACTATTTCTAACTCTCTTATTTTTGATTCGTCGCATTTGCTTGCAGTCATAACATAAACAACAAAAATGCTTCCTTTGTTTACGTTTTCTTTCGCAAGATTTCATACATCGAATATCGTACGCAAAATATTTTAAGCTGGGACACACTCCTCGGTGAGTCCGACTTTTGTATCTTTTTTATTAACAAATAATACGAATTATCACTTATATTATATAAAAATGAAGAAGTGTTCATCTTCTTTTATGAAAGACCATTTTCTTCCAGCATCCTTCGGCGGTATTTTTGGACTTTGTCTCGGCGGTTCGGTCATAAGTTTGGTCGAATTACTTTACTACATTACTCGTGAGATTTTTTATCGTCCTAAAGGAGGATCAACATCAACATCACCATCACCGAAGAAGAACTTGCCAGCTGCCTCGGAACTCTTCCTATCGGCTCCGCTGAAGGATCCCAAATGGAAGAAATTGAATACTAAACGCGAAATGAACGATGACGAGGGACCGGTTTATGTGCTTGCAAATCGAATGTTTATTCGTCAAAAAGAGAATGATGATAACAATGAAACTTCTATTAATAATAAAAATAATAATATTAATAAAGTTATGTCAAAGAAAGTGAAGTTTCAACGATATTACGATTAAATCAAGAAAATTTTCAATTGTAAGTTTAATTTAAGTAGTAAAAAAATGTAGAATTATATGATAAAATAGTTGCAAGTTTTATTTTCATCATACATATATATATATATATATGTTACTGTTAATTCGTGAAATGATTGTACCGAAAAATTACGTGTACTTATGTATGCACATATGATATAATTGAATAAAAAATTAGAACAAATCGCAGCACGATCCATTCGTTATTCGATTTTGTGAAACGATCGTTTTTACATTAATTTGATTACTTTCCTGTGGCACGGATTTTCTACAGAGGGTCTGTTTCAAATGAGAGAGGAAGTGTGGACTCAATAGGGAGTAGAGCACGAAATTGAATGAGCTGGAGATCGCGTTAAGGAGGGTCGCGTATATACGAAATCTGTAAAGAAAAAATACGATTAAGGTTATTAAGGTTATTAAATCATTCAATAATGAATACAATTTTCAACAATTATTCCTTCATTAGACAAATTTCTTTTAATTGGGTTATTTCAAAAAATAAAAAGAAAATAAAAATTGTCTAATTTACTTGATCTTTGGTAAATGTCTATTTTTTCAAAGCCATTTATGCAGGAATTGACCAACCCATAAAATAATTAAAAAATTGATTGAAACATTGTAAGGATTTATTTGCAAATAAATTTGCTATGTTTATTTCGGAAACTTTGATGTCTATCTTATGGGATAGGAATCGAAAAGATTCGGAGATTGCTTCTTCACCTTTCGAGAAAAATCTCATGGACGATGGTTAGGTCGCCATCGTATAAAAGAGAAACTGCGCTACGTCGTGACGCCAAATGTGTTGGAACCTCGCCGATAACGAAAACGAATGCGACGCCTACTAGCATCACGGTCAATCTTGTTTGATCCTAAGAAACGAGAAAGAATCACGATAAAACTTGATAAAATCACCTCTAGCAAAAGCCTCTGCCTTTATTTTCCTTCTGACACACACGCATATACACACATGTATATATCTTTTCTTCTTTAAGCATAGAGACACGCATCATACATCGTGTGTATGCTTGTTATTTGAAATAAAATACACATATTATGAAATATTAAATCTACGTATAAATTGTCGAATGTTCAAATTTGTTATTTTTATATACTAAAAAATGTTAGATCGACATACCCTCAATTGGTTGCATTCTTTGGCTTTGCATCGTTTCAACAATTCTTTTCTTTGGTTGAGCAGTCTTATCATGTTGATGCACATAATACTGTTGGCGATGAGCAAGAATATGGCTGGTAGAAGGCCAAAGATCATCAGCTGAACCCAATTGTGAAGTTTGTACAACCTGTAACGACGTTTTTTACACGTTTTTATGATGTTATAGTATATCCATAGATGACATGAAACTCTTACGTGGAATGAAAAAATCCCGTTGTCATTAAATCCCCGCGTTGATTGTACTTGTATATGAAACAGTAGGGAACGTTAATGACAATAGCGAAGCAGGTCGAAGCGATCATCATCCTTCGGGCGACGTACTGACTACAAAACTTCGGAGTCTTGCAACTTGGTTGGCTAACGGTAAAACAAAAGAACTTTCCTCGTTAAACTTTCTTTACCTTTAACCCTTTGAGTGTTGAATACTGTTGGCCGAAGTGTTTCATAGTGATTGATTATACTAGCTATAGTTGACAAATAAAATATTCAACAGTGACAAGGGTGAAAGCGTTCGTTCAAGTACATATATCAACGTAACTCAATTATATTGTAATCGATTATACATTCAATTGTTACAATTTATTACCAAAAACCAATAATATGTTTCATTTATGAATAGATAATTGGTTACTAATGAGAGTAATTATTAATATTTCATTTAACATGTTCGTACAATAAAATACAGTATAATATAAATATAAAGATATAAAATGGATATTAATTGGATGTGTTTTAGGCAAATATTAGAATGACATGGTACTTACCTACAGACCATTGCAAGTCTATCGATGGTGACGCAGACGGTAGCCCATACAGTGATATTGGATGAAATCGAGCCAAGAGGAAGATGCACGAAGGCATCGAACTCGAGCCAACCAGTTTTGCACCAAAAAATTCCTCGCGCCAAGCCAGAGAATAGAAGTAGAGTGCACGTTACAAGATCAGCACTGGCTAGGACTGCCAATTTTGTTCGTTTCCCATAATCGATAGATAGGTCGAAATGTTTGAACATAACTTCATGCTAACCCTTACGAATTAATTCCCAGATTGATATCGTCATTACATCTATTATTATTATTATTATTATTATTATAGCTGTATCAAATTCTTTTTATTTTATTTTATTATGCATAGATGATGAATTCGTTGAAAAAATTAATCATTCCTTCTAATTTCGATATCAATCCAGTATAAATCGTTTGTCAAAATGCTCATACATCATAGCAAAGGAAAGGAAATCATTTTCTGACCTGCTAGATATGTATACGTGGACGTCTTCAAACATCGTTTCATGATAACCGCAAGAATGAGAGAGTTACCAATTATTCCAAGAGCAGAAATGATCGGTATAACAATACTGTACATTACTATACTTATCATTGTTGGCTGACCGATCCACAAAATGTTATTTGATATTTTATTGTCTGTCGCATTTTTCGTAGATTTTGACGGAGAAAAATGGATGTCAAAGTTATGATCTCTGTGAATAATTTGTTCGTTTCATTAGTTCTCTAAACTGTTGAGTTTTCATTTATACAACATTTATTACAAATAAAATATGTAATCACCTTTTGCATAGTATACGCATGTCATCAGAAAAATTACGATAAATAGGCTTCGTAATTAACCAATGGAATTCGAAATTTTGTTCGTAATGTAAAAGAGCTCGACCCATTTCTAGAAAAAAAAAGTCTATCCGAGGCATTGTAAAGTAGGCAGCGAAATATAGATTGAGATCTCGGAGTTGCCGTTCTACTCACAATCAGGATTACCTCTACTTCAACGAAGAATGAATTTATGACTGACGAGATCTAAGGTCGCTCCTGGGAAGATAAAAAATCTCTTGTTCTAAATGAAATACTGCTGAAAAGAATTTCTTTCTCTTTGTCTTTCTCCGATTTGTTCGTCGCACGTTTCAAGATGACGAACAAGAACAGGAACAGCTGGAAAAATTTACTAAATTTCATCTTCTTCTGATCTTTTATTAAACATTAATTATTGTTCCTATTGAAAAAATATTTGGTTTATTCAATTAAATGATACTTTGACAATGTGTCGTTAATTGTTACCTATAGAATAAAACAAATGTGATGCTCTTCACCGATGAAGTTCTCAATTCGAATGCATAAAAATACTCGAATACGTTTATACTAGTTGTAAACGTGAACTGCGTATTGAAGAGACGTAAATGTCGGCAACGCATCGAAAACGAACATTCATAGGACGTTTCTTGTGAACAATGAGACTGATGCTCGACGGAAATAGATATACTGAAATTATTCGGAGGAGTTGTCAGATAACGGACGATAATATGAACGCAAATATCGCGAACGTACAATCGATATCCACGTATATATCTGATTGGTATAAAAAACCTATACTACCTACGTGCATACCTTTACCTATCTAACCAAATCAAATATTTATTTTTTCCCGAACCTTTTGTCGCAGTTTATTCAATTTATTTACCATGTGTTGTTCGACTAATTCAAATTTCACATAACGTTTCATTCGGGGAACTTATCAAATTCTGATTTTTCCTTAACATTCGTAACATTTAATATAATATGAAATAAAAAAACAAATTATTTTCTACTTGGACAGGTAGAAGACATCAAACAACATATAACTGCAACCCTTGCCCCGATCAGCCAAGTATGCATCTTTACAATTGTTTTGTTTTACAAGGATCTAATGTAAAGAGTTAATTGATGCTATTTAGGGATGAATCATCGATAACGAAAAATGTGATCATATAATCATACTCGAGCATTAATGAACGAGCTTTGATGTAACCATGGAAACAACCACGATAACCATTATCGATCGTTTTCTCCACAAACGCCTTCAAAGTTTTCGTTCTATCATAAATTAATTTTGTTCCAAGTTTTCTACGAATTTGATACTTCTTAACAGACACACACACACCCACACCTACATGCGCTCGTATCCTTTCTTGCTTATCTTTCTCTCATTCTCTTAAATTAGTACGGAATTTCATCTGTACTAGCATGTTTTCTTATATGAAAAATTGATTACAACGATTGAACACATTTCATTGAAAAAAATGTAATTAAGAGTTGTGTACGAATAAACTCAGAATGTTCGTACCTATCATTAACACGTTTATTAACAACTTTGAAAGAAACTTTTGGAATTTATTAGAATCCTTTCGTAAGTTCATACGGTAGGTTGATTATGGCAAAACTTGGCCTATTGTTCTCGAAGATTTATTCCTTTAATATTAGGTAAACTAATAGCTTCTAGTAATTTTAATAGTAAAATTCGAGTTGGAGAAAATTATCAGTAAGTATTAACAAAAAATTAATGTATAATAATAAGTTTATTTCTTGGAAAGTGATCGAACGCATTAGGCTTAATCCTAGCTTATCAAATATTCCTGGGTACTTACGTATTAACACCACCGCAGCAAAAATTCCGCTAATGCGCCAATAAAGAGCAATCTTGTTGTTCGCACACAACAACCTTGTTGTTTGCACACAGCAACTGTCAGGGTTGCGTCAGGGTTTCGTCAGGGTTGCGTCAGGGTCGGTGCAATCGCAGCATGGAGGGAAGAAGAGCTTGGGCTACTGGATTCCCCAGTCGCAACGGGAGTACGTGTGAGGGAGGCTCTAGCCGATAGGTTGGTTGAGTGGGTCGAGAGGCCACACTCTATTGAGTCGACCTTTCGCACCACCCAGCTGATGACCGGTCATGGATGCTTCTCGGCATACGTACATAGGATTGGGAAAAGGGAGTCCACGCAGTGCTTCCACTGCGAGGCACCGTGCGACGATGTGGAGCACACGCTGCTCGACTGCCCGGCATGGGGTGACGCCAGAGACAATCTGGCTGCTGCAATAGGAGCGGGAAGGCCCACACTCCCGGAAATAATCAGGGCCTCCCTGGATACTCCGGGAGGGTGGTCCGCCTTCCAATCCTTCGCAAAACGCGTCATAAAGACGAAGGAGGAGGAAGAGAGAAGGAGAGAAAGACGCAGAGTGCCTGGGAGCCTGCGCGAGGGGCCGCAAAGGAGTATGACTCCAATGCGGCCGCCGCGGGCGAGGCTTAGGCCAACCCCAGCAGCGTCTGGCCCATCCTAGAGCGCTGCTGTAATTATATGAAGAATGAGCACAATATGTGCATGGCGTCAGGACTGGAGTTGCAACTTCGCCGTTAGGTGGGTAACAAAGCTAGTCATCCTGGCAGGAAAGTCACTACTCTGGGGTTAATCTCCATTGAGGGGTGACATATATCGAGGAACACTGGCATACTAGCGCCTTATCCGCGTTAGTATCAATGGACGAGATCGGGGAAATACCGCCCCAGATCGCTCGGGATGAACACAGGGCGACGGGAATTCACTTGCGTGGAGATGCTGCCCGTCCACTCCCAACTGGTGAAAGGAAACAGGAGGTTTTTTAGTCGGTAGGCGATGTAGTAGTACATCGAATCCGACACTCCTCTGGGTACCGGGCCCAGGGGGTCTTTGGAAGATTTTTCCTCCTGTCGAAAAAAAAAAAAAAAAGGGTTGGCGAGCTGCATAGATGAGCGGCCGATNAAAAAAAAAAAAAAAAAGGGTTGCGTCAGGGTTGCGTCAGGGTTATGGCAACAGCATCAGGTGAAAGAAAATAGAGACTGTATTGAATCTATGTTAAATTCTATATCGGCCCATTTTCCACCGAAATCCGATTGACTACTTTTTATAAATAAAATGTTTTGATTTTAAGTAAATTTTTTTATTCTATAATTTGTCGCAACAATTTAAGGTGTAGATTGGCGCATTAGCGGAATTTTGTTGCGGTGGCGTTAATACGTAAGTACCTATTCCTGTATTTTGAATCGAAGCATTAATCAAGCTGCAAAACGTTTATCGATCCTAAATTTGTCATTATCTATCTATCATCTTTTTTCTCTTTCGATGATGTTTTTCAATTCGACTTCCGAAGGCAGTGCTCTTCAAAAATGCATGCGCCAAAAATCGAAAGTGATCGAGGTAAGGTATCTAAAAATAGAATCCATTGTTTCCTGAAAACTCGTTCATGTGTGCATGTATATACATACTTACTTACTTACGTATTTTCTTGATGTGTATGCGTCTGTGCGCGTACCTCCCGTAGTCGTCTTATTTCGAAAGTACTATCAACGTCACCGTCATAGTATCAATAGCTAACCTCGTTCTTTATCCAGCATCTTGGAAAACTCGTCTAACCTTCTTTTTTTATCTCTCCCAATTCTCTCGAGACTGTTCCTGCTGACATAAGGTGAATATATGAACACGATGGTTCCTGATGGTTCCCGATGGCTCCAGAGTCCACGAGTAGACCATCGAGTAGACCATCGAGTAGAACATCGAGTAGAACATCGATCTTGAGATCTAACCATCATTCACCAAGTGATACGTTTGTCGGTTAGATCGCGCTTTTTCAAAGTACTTGCGTACATATTTACACTTATTCCATGCTTCCTATATAGGATAATATTTTATCGGTGATGTTTTCTTAAAATATGCTAAACATACAAATTCGGAAATTGGTCTTTTGTAGATACGAAATTGTAGCAGTAATCTTTTTATTCGTAGAGTTGGGATCCTTAGAAATTTCTCCTATTGGAATAACATTTTACCAAATGATTTTTTTTATATCAATGTAGGTGAGCCAAGAGGGAAGAAATACTTAACTACTAATTAATTATATTAAACTAATAATGAAGAAGTTGATTATAAATCAATTTATGATCTGATTACTTCGTAAGACTTGCTTGATTAATTAATGAACTTAAATACGAATTAAATATCTGTCTATTTTTGTTCTTTTCGTTGAATTATTTTATTTGATATAAAAGAAATAAAAGAAAAATTAGATATCAGATTTTGAAGAAGGAATTATGTACTAGTGTGCGTCACGTATGAACTTCATATGTCTTCCTAATATATAATCGATATCCGACTCCGCGAACGAGGAAATGGTTTCACGAGCCTCACCACAATCATTCATCTTCGTCTTGTGTTAGAATAAAGATGGAGTTTCAAGATGATGGCAGGGGAATAACGAACTTGTCTCTTATCAAATTGCCAAGAATAATGATATTAAAGAAACCATCAACACTCTTGTCTGTTTTATTTGTAAACCTGACACGTGTCTAAATACCTTGTCAATGTTGATGATAAAGATATTTACATCGATGATAGAATTCGATCGGAGAAAAATTGAAGTTTAACATTAAAGAATAAAGCTAAAAGATTAAATTACTCTAACGTGTAAGAGGAAGATCGTCTTGAATGCATTAAGTTTTTTTTTTTATTCGAGAAGACAGAGAAGATCAAGATTTACGTTGGCTTCCTTGAGTGGACGGGTTCTTTCACGAGTTCATTTTATTTTTTTCTTAAAAGACGTTCTCTTCCTTGATGGTTCTTCAAAGATGATGAAATTTAAAAACTATCTTTTATGTGTACTCTTTGAAAGTTCATTTTAATTAAATACTTAAGAAAATTTAATTATCGTCGTTAATAAAAAGTTGAAAATTAATCAATATCTAGATACTTGGAAAATAAGAATGAGACAAATCTTATTCTATCGGTTATTCGTCTAGAAAATAAAACCAATCTAAACGCATGAAGATCAATATTTAAACAGAGATACAAGAAATTCTTATTTCTATATACGCAACGTTGTGCTTGGAAAATAAGTTTTGAAGAAAACGTGTTATTGTTTTTTCTTCTAAAAGAAAAAAAATGTATCGCAAAGTTGAGGTAAAAGAAATAATGTTAACATATTGCACAGATCGAAAAGTAATTTCGTAGTTGGTTTCGAATAAGAAAGCAAGTTCTACTAAAAGTAAGGAAAGAAGATAAATAAAAGTGAATCGGTACATTCGTTGATGAGTTATTCTACATTTGTTAGTTGATTCGTTCGTTTGGCGAACTTTTAGGCCTTGTCACGATTGCGCAAGCGTTGTCAGATGAACACAACGGAGGTGGTATGACGCGCAAGAACGTACATGCAAGCTTCAGTTTTCAGCAAGACCTAGCTGGAACGCGAAGCAAGATACATTACTCTTATTACAATTTACCACCTCCCTCGTTCACTTTTGAACGTTATCCTGTTGCGTCTCCGGGACCTCGTGGTTCTCGAAAAGAGGATATTCGAGCTCTTGAAAAATCGATTCCAAGTTCCAAATCAAACACTCGGATATCCTTGTTACTAAAAACACGTTGATGATCATCTCCTAAATCATCAATTAACGTTTTCGATGACTTTCTTTGCAAGTTAAAACGACCAATGTAATGTCATCGATGATTCTAGTCATGAAATGGGTGTGATCGAGGCAAAGACTTTATTAGGATTTTTTCGCGGGAATTAAGAGTTCAGTGGACGTTCAAGTGATACTCGTATTTATCTTGGTCACTTTTGTTAGTTTATTTTGAATGGCAGCATCCTCTAAGTCGGACAACCATGCGGTTAGTGTTGAAAAACGAACCTCGATAGTTCTCGAGCATGTTTCCATGACTAACTGCACACCCAGCAATTTTCCTGACAAGTTTCAAGATTTTTTTGCTGCTGTCACCGAAGATAACGACGATATACCAACCATGCTCGAAGACAAACTAATACCGAGGTGAGATCTAAACACATTTAACATTTGTTTTTGAAGTGTTTTTTTTTTTTTTAAGTAAGATACAGAAAAAGTATATAAGATCTTTACGTTTCTTATTTAATTAAATTTCATTTCAATCTGATTTCAAAATAAAGTAATTTAACAAATTTATTTGAAAACATCGCACACACCGAGGACAGAATTCTAACTGTTGGAATATTTCAAATAATGTTAGATATTAACTGTATCAAAAAACTTGTGCCTGTCGGGAAAAAGCCAAGGTTTTAATTTAGTTTTAATTTAGTTTAATATAATTTAGTAGTTTCTTTCATGCATCGTTATTAAATTGATGGTAACACCTAAATTTAATTATCGCTAAATCTCATTAAAATTAAAATAATAATCATAACGAGTCTCTTCTGAGCAACTTATTTAAAGACTTAAGTCGAATTAAAATAGAAAGTATCTAAGATTACTGAAGAAAAAAGAACTTTTTAGATAAAACATTAGACATCCTAGTCAAATGTCTTCCTTTAAAGCAAACAAGGATCTTAGTAATGTTCCTTTACTTTTTTCATCGTTAGAAATGAAAGCGTCATCATCTCTGGAAAAGCTGTAAACGAACCGTAACTCCTTTTTCTTTATTTTTCTTGAAATAAAGAGAAATAACGAAGGATTCTAAAGATTTATCAAATTTATACACTAAATATATACTTGCTTACTTCACGCGAGAAATAATTAATTAATTAAATAAATAATTAATTAATTAATAACGAATTGCGATCGAATATTTGCAAGTTTATTATAACAAGTTTTAACATAAAAACAATTTTAAAAAATGGCCAAATCTGAATTATTCATTTAATTGACCCTATTGTTCATTTGAAAAATTTTCATTATTTATGATTAACCATGAGAATTATGTTGTCTAGACGAGAAATTAGTTAAATAGAATAGCAAACAGATAATTAAGTAACGATTAAACAGTTATTATTGCGTTAAATTGATACCGCATGAAAATATGGGGGGATAAAACGGTGATCGATCTTTATTAGATCATTAAATACAGCCATTATAGTAACAATTAATCGAGCCTTTATAGACATAAAAATCGTTCACGGCGTTGTCCGTTAACATGACTACAAATTAATTAACAATATTATTCGACAAATGGTAACAAACCTAAACGTAATGTCTAAAAAAAGAAAAAACATTTCTTTAATTAATAGAAACGAATCGAGATTTGAAAAAAATACTGGCCGTTTTACTAACAATTACAATTCTAATTTGAATTTTATTTTTCAATTCTTTTTCGATAAAAATAAAATAGATTCATCGATAAAAATAAGTCGAAATATTGGAATAAATACAATAAATGCTACACAATAAATATGGATTTAAAGCAACGCATAGAAAGAATTTCCTTGAAATCAGAAAATCGATTTCTTTTTTGTCCTTCTTTCTTTCTTTCTTTCTCTTTCTCTCTTTCTCTCTCTTTCACTTGCAAAGAAAGAAGCTGAGAGCACAAAACTGGTGAATGTAACGTAAGGAAAAAGAGTTTGCGCCTCGACAATTAGCAAGTCGTCTTAGCTTACCTAAATACTATTCTACCTGTACGAGATTTATACGTCTAATCATAAATTCTGCGCACTGCACCTACTTAACCTATGTATAAAATGCATTATATGTGTATGTGTGAGCATTGTTAACGTATGTGTGTCAGAGAAACGATTTTGAGTAAAAGAACTCTCATGTTAAAGCCCTTCTCGAAATATTCAGAAAGAAATTGTCCTACGACTTGTGCTATTTTCATTTATAATACCGTTGTACTATTGTACCATATCAAATCTTTCATTGCCGTATTTTCCTTTGTATCCCTGTAAGAATTCCTAAGAAAAAAAAAAAATCTAACAAGAGAATTGCAAATTATATGCATGTATGCGCGAGTATGTCTCTACAGTTGCAATGTAATATAAATGTGTATACGTGTATAAGATGAAATAAATCTAAAGCAATTCATTATTATTATATTATTAATTACAGTATCGTTATAAGAAAGGATATAAAACATTGTACCTAATGTAAATGATAAGATAAATGAGATAAAAAATGTACAATACTTAATACAGGAACACGTCTAGTCAGAAGGCGAGAAGAAAGACGACTGAGAAGAGAAGAGGCATGTGTACACGTTAAACTTATCAAAATAATTGTTTTTCGATCATTTAATGTTTTGTTTTTACATTCGGCTATTGACCGCTATTCTTATTTTATCAACACCTGGCATGTTTGGTCAAAAATTTCTTCTATCTTATTTTTTGAATCTTCGTCGAATAATTTATTACATATGCATTAAAAAATGTACAATTCATCATATACATAATTAAACGTTTTTTGTCCGCTTCACTGTGTTGTAATTATACGTTATTGGCTATTGACCACAAATTTAATAAATACGTATTTTTACGTGACCCGCCTTTCAGTGACAATTTGCGAGACAAGGCGTCGCTGAGATTCTAACGGCTTGACCTTCGTGTACGTTCGGTATTCTTCGAGTGTATTTCGTAAGTGTTCACGTAATTTGTTGTTAGTCTTATTCGAGCACCGAGATTACTAACAACGGTATTAGAAAAGTGTCAAATTTATTTCGCGTATACGTGTGTGCGTGTTTTTTGCAATTAATATGCATCCGTGCGCGAGTGCATGTGTTATGAAAGTGTGATATACATGTGCATGCTTGGATATATTAGCATCGTTTAGAAGATGAAATACATATATCTAACAGGAATAATTCATTATCAATTAATAAGGAATATTATTCATTAGTGAAAGAGAAACAAATTAAAATTTGATATGAGAGTGTTTTATTTACATATACACATTACATTTTTAAATATAATACTGTCAGATTTATAACATTCAATATGCCAAAGGGCAGATGGAGAATAAAAATTTCAAAAATAAAAATTGTATTACCCTCGAAAGGATCCCTTGAAAGGATCCCTCGAAAGGATCCCTCGAAAGGATCCCTCGAAAGGAAAAAACACGGCCCGAAGAATCTATTTTATCAATATGATTGCACGTGGGAATCGTTCCCTCCTAACGAGAATAGAAGAACATCGTTGATTTCCAAAGGGGGAATGTGAAGCACCGTTTTATCTTCGGCATTTCAGGAAGCAGGAGAGTTCCGGTACCGATACAAAGGGTAGAAAGTGGAGCAACAGGGCTTTCCAAAGGCGAAGTAGCGAAATCGAGGTACGATTTCACCGTAGTTCCTTGTCCAGTGCTCAAGGACATGGAATATTAGATGGACCAAAATCGCCAACGCCTACTCGACGAAGAAGTTCTAGTATAGCCGTTGCCAGACCTACACCCGACTTACACAGGTAATTTCCTTTTGAAAATTTATTTTGATAAATCAAAATTGTATTCGTTTAGCTTTAGTTTTTCTGTTAAATATATTTTTCTAAGGCGATATGGTAAAAACGACAAAAGAATCGATCCTGACTTGGGTAAATTAGATTTTTACAGGCGGAAGCAGGTCCTTGGGGACACCTTTCGCCGTCGTTGAGAAGTCAAAGCTTGACCCCAGCAGTAAGTCCTGGAGCAGCTTCTACTTCTTCCCATCTTATCGTTAGTCCAGGCACAAGTCCTGGTGGTCCTAGTCCTACCAGTCCTGCAGGCTCAGTTGGACAAGGAACGGGATCATCTCGGGTATCTATGCCAAGGCAATATCGTGGTAGAACCAGTAGTATGCCAGCAGTACCACGACATAGAGTGAGTGTTAAATATCAACTCGAATCATTTTTCATTCTTAATCGTTCCTGAAAGTAGATATCACTCGTTACTTCATCGATAATTTTCTTCACGAAAATTATCTATCATCAGTAAACCTTTTAAGCTCGTATATTTAAATGCAGACTTTTTAAAAGACATATTTTAAATGGATTACCTGTTACTAGAGCGTGCACAAATTTGTCACTGGCAAAGCTCACAAATAAAAAGTATCGATAAACCATGAAGTCCTACTTTCATCGCGTAAGTAATGTTATTTATTACGAATAGTATTCGAATCTTTTGAGTCTCTTTTACTTTTAATTGTATGCTCGTTAAAAAAAAAAAAAAAAAAGACAGAAAAAACAATATATATAAATAGATTTGATAAAATCCCACGTTTAAAATCGCATCAAAATGTGAAAATAAATAAGTACAATGACGACGTTTATTTTTTCATTTATTGTTATCTGAAAATATTACGAACGAGATAGGAAATCGCTTTTCATATTATCCTTCTTTATTAATTGATGCATAAACAGCTAAAATGTAGCAATAATCATAGGCATGTTAACAAATGATTTTTCATAATAGACAACGTCGCTTGAAAACGCGTTCAATTCAGTTTTATTAATTAAAAAACAAAATATATATTATTGTATCATTACAAATAAATATGTTGTTATCAGACGGCAAAAGAAATGACGCGAAAATTCGTAAGTTGTAACGATTGATTATGATTATGAAAATAATATCATATCTGAAATATATCGAATAACGTTCTCATCTTCAAGCTTCTATGTAGAAGCCCATGCCAACTTTGTGATTTCCCCTGTTAATATTCGTACAATCGAAACAAAAGGAAAAGGCGACCGTCGCATTCTCGTTCAACTTTAGTTGCAAGCTCGTACCCAATTGCATAGCGCTGTTCATCTTGAACCGTAGGATCGAATCTTCGTCTAATTTGTATTTCGCTGCTAGTCCAAGCATCCATTCGTGTCTTCTTCCGCTTTTCGCCGATATTCCATTCAATGCGATATCCCAATCTGAATTAACTTTAGAAGGGAAAACAAAACGATAAACGATATCATGTGTGATCTTAAGCAAATTTATATTTGTGTCTTAGTAATCTTTAGTTTAACCAAAATTATAAAGATAAGACTTTGTTTCTTCAATCGGAAATTAAAAAGGAATGAATTACTTAAATAAGCTCTTCCATCGTATTATAATAGCCACTTTGCTCGGTAGTTCTAATGTGAAAAGCATTGCTGTTGTTTAAGGCAACGAAAATGCTCGCATTATTCATAAAGTAGTGAAAAGGTACACGGAAAAATTCAATTAGTCGTTTAAAGCTTTAAGCTTTCCTGTTATATTCGCGAAAATAAATTGTCTTGTTCTGACAACTTTGTAAATTCTAAGCATTTACTTCATTTTATTCGCGAATAATGCTTTCAATCTTTTAAATTCAAAAATCTTTTTCCAAATAACGAAAATCTGCAAGCTATCAAATACTTTAATTACCGATGTAATTAAACAAATGAAAAGATTCATTTATTTTATAAAAAAGGGATTACTTCGTTAAATAATGTTAACGAGATACATGAAAATACGAAACAGCGTTTCTCAAACTTCTTGCCATGCAATTAAATAAATACATTTGTTTGCAATGGTACCACTCTTTAAATGTTTATATAATAATGTAAAATTGATGAGCAAAGTTAGAGTATGTTATTTCAAACATACACTGCTGTTATCGCAGAACATAACAAGTTGAAAAACGCTGATAGAGAATAATTGAGAAATAATGAACCTTTATACAAAACAGAACAACCAAACTCATTTGGTATCAAAGTGCATCTCAAATGGAACGCCAAATCTCGGTAGCTGAAAGCGAATCCTAAGTCGTTCTTCGTGAGCTTTTTGGTAGCCGTCTTATAACCACATTGGTAACCCACGAAGATCTCTTTAAACCTCATGACAATTGCACCGTAAACGTTCAAATGTGGATCGAAATTGTCGTTGGCTATGAAACAAGATTTTATTTACAAAATAACTCACGCATTATTATCGATTAATTTGTTTTCAACAAATCATTTCAAACGTACGTTTGCAAGAGAGACTTAAACGTTAACGATAACTGTTCGCGTATAAATGGCACGTGTTTATCGTAAATCAAATGTACCAACTTAAATAATCAACTTTCCTTTTTTCTTTCACTATTTAACGGTTTATGGCAAAAGGATGAGAAATATGATTGAATTATGTGACGGTACGTTTTAATAGAAAACTTATCTCCTGAGTTATAATAAAATAATAAAAATATTATATTATTTCGTACTGTAATAAAGTTTGCCAACATTTTTATGAAAGAGAACGAGGTATAGAATATCAATAAAATTTCATCCTAAAGAATATTTTATTGTTGAATATTTCTCATCGGCAAAATTATTGGATTTGGACGAGACAATGGAACAATGCACATTTACACATTGATGGAAATATAATTTAATTAGAAAAAAAGAATAATAATTACGCGTTGCGAGAAATTAATGCGTCAACAAATAAAGTCTCTCATGCATTTTTCCTCGGCAACATTTTATGCGTTCGTATAAATTTTCTACAAAAGAGATGGAAGAAAATAATACCAACCTAACGTGCAAATTCCATTGACCCTATCGTTGACGTACTTCGTGTCGAGTTTCATGCCCTTAAATGTAGTTTGTGGATTGTAAAAGAACTCGGATAACAGGGTAAGACCATCGAGAAGTTTCCCAGTCATTTCACAGCCTAAAAAAGCCGTTCCGTCGGACGTCCATTTTTGCACGATATTTCCATAGTTTTCAGTATTGTATTTAGTTTCCAAGAGACCATTCAACTATTCATCCGTATGAAAAAGAAGTCAACATAAACTTAGTTGAAATTGTTCTTATGTTTTCTAAAACTATCTATATTTCCAACGTTATTGAACATACCTTCAAAGTATCAGCATTTATAAACAAGTCACTGGTCATTTCAAATATACCAGTTTTCTTCGACTTGACGTTTAATTTAAAAAGACCTTTGCCATAGTAATAACCTGTCTTAAAGACATCTTGTGCACTTTTACCGAGATCCGAGAAATTAGGTACTTCCATGCCGATAATGATTAGAATGATTAAAGGATCAAAGGATGACGACAAATAATAATAACTTTGAGGGAGGGGAGGGGAGGGGGGGGTAAAAATGGGAAAAGTGTTATTCTAACAATTATATGGATAGATTAGATAAGTTATCGGTCTAATATTGGCCAACGTAAAAAATCACGTTGACTTTCTTGTCGTTGTGATTGTAATTTTCAATTGATTGGATTGAGATCGAACGAACGATAGGAAGAGGATCTTTGCGTTCATAAAGAGTAACATTGCCGGCTCTTCTTGCCAAACTTTTTAAATGACTCACAAAAATCTCTTTTCATAAGAATTTTCCACTATCTTGGAGACACTAATGACAGATCACCGAACAATGACATTTTTCGATTAAATCGATCAATAATCGATCAATAATCGATCAATAATCGACTAGCTTTGCAAAATCGTACGAGACTATAGAGGGTTAAGAGAAATCAGCTGACTAATTTTTGAGAAAGAGAGAGAGAGAGAGAGAAATCTAATTCAATTAGCGAATAGTATTAGTCGCATCAGGGATTCGCTATGACCTTAATCTAGGTTTGAAAGTTTGCCAGTAGTATTGTTCGAAGCTTCGGAACGCAAACAGAACAGAACACTCAACAATATTCTTCACACAATTCTTTTGAATAGTCAAATTCATTTCCGTCTGTTCTGTCATTTTTGCAGCCAATGTTGGCAGAAACGAAACGCGGTGGTGGCGGTGGTGGTGGTGGTGTTGCTGGCGAAGACGGAGAAACCGAAGATTGCATCGAATATTACAGACTACGATCGTTCTCCATTACAGCGAATGGCGTTTTCAATCTTGGCGATTCGTTGAAGAGCCGTCGTAGTAAGAGTATCAACAGTGTTACCTCTTGTGGCACTAGTTGCAGTAGCACGAGAGAAGCTCGATTACTTAGGTAAAAGAAAAAGCAACGAAACAAAGAAATAAAAAACAAAAAGACAAGAGAAAAATATTGATTTGAAAGACCCTCGTGTTTCTGTCCCAGTTCGGCTTCGCAACTCTCTGGAATCGAAACAGAGGAGGAAACGAGCAACGAACGCATTGCTACTTACAAGGTTGGCATGCTAGGTGCATCTGGGGTTGGTAAAACCGCTCTGACGGCTCAATTTACGACGAGCGATTATATTTGCGCTTACGATGCTTCGTTAGGTAAATAATTTATATTATTAATAGAATTTATTACGTTCATTCTTTCATAATAAGAAGTAATTATCTTGTAGACGAAGAGTACGGTCAAAAAAGTGTTTCTGTTATGCTCGACGGTCAAGAAACCGAATTGGAAATCATTGATCATCCGAGCTCGGAAATGTCGGTAAGCAAATACCATTAATAATCGATACTTAAATCAAATAGGAACATTCATTGGATCTCTGTTAGGATTGAAATTCGATATTCCATTGATTCGAGGTCGAGACGTTTTGTTCGACCTACAATCCAGATGTCTACGTTGTCGTCTATTCTGTGGTAGACCGAAGGAGTTTGGAGATAGCAAAGGAAACTTTGCTTTATCTATGGAAGAGTGATTATATGATGAGCCATGGCGTTATCCTGGTCGGGAACAAGGTCGATCTTGAAAGGAAACGGGAGGTCCCCTCTGTGGGTAAGTAAATCCACAGGAATTTGAAACCTTTCAACTAGAAAAATAGTTCATTTCGCCTTACATTTCGGCACTAAGCCGAACTAAGCTCGAACTTGCCTGCAAAATCATCCAATTTACATGCATCCGAATAATTAGAAATAAATTTGATACAACTTTGGATTTATCATTGTTATCGCATTTGTTTTTTTGTTGTTTTTTTTTTTTTCAAAGTTTTCTCAAGACAAGACGTAACACAGTTTTTCAAGATGAAATCCTTGAAGTTATAAAATAAGTTAATTTAGGTTTTATCGCACCTTTGCTCGCTAATTCTAGAAGTGACCGCGCGATGTTAGGCCTACAAAACTTAATTAAAACTTTCTAACTTATAATAAGATAGTCATTTCCCATAAAATACTATTGTATTCTCAATAAAAAAAACTATAGAATTAGTTTAGTTTTAGTAGCTCATATGTTAGTATTGCATTTATAAATATTATATTTTGTATATTATTCATATTATTATTCATATTAAATATATACTAAATAGGTGGTGAAGATTATTTATTAGGACAAATGTAAAATGAAATATCGAATTTACGTTAACAGCCGGCCGACAATTGGCGAACAACTGTGGTTGCAAATTCATCGAAACGTCGTCGGGATTGGCACACCACGTCGATGAACTTCTAGTCGGTATCCTGGCGCAAATAAAATTAAATCCTCAACGTGATCGAAATCAAACAACAAAACAAAAAAGAAGTAAACACCGCAGAAGAATTTTAAAACACTTGCTTGGTTTCAAACGGAAAACTAAAAGCTGCGAGAATCTTTTTGTTCTTTAAGGATCCATCATTTATTTGATCTTAAATGCCGGAAGACAGAAAATCGATGTATAAATTGCATGAAAAAAATAATATATATTCAATTAAAATAATATTTTCATTGTCATCGATCCGCGTGAATATCATAAAAATATTATAACAATTTGAATAACGTCAATCAATGTTCCTCGACGTTATAAATATCGAAAATGAATTTTAATTATTATTTCATACCAATTATAATTGATAAATTAATAATAATAATAACAATATTCACCTGGATCGATTAAAATAGAAGATATATTGCATAAAAAGTGAGCTATACGGTTATTAATCATTGCGTATTACATTCTCGTGATCATTTGTTATGGATTGGTCACATTCTCATGATTGATCTATCAATCTGGCCGATTACCAAGTCATGATTAATAACAGTATTGCTTCCCTTCTACATCATCGAAAAAAAAAACAAATATACAGGGTGTCACAGCAAAATGAAAATGCCTAAATATTTTCTTTCTTTACAATTGTATAAAAGACTATTGCACTATTGCAGGGGAGAGGGTGTTAATTATGACATTTCATGATTATCATATGATGTTTCTTTAAACGGAATTTTAAATTTTTTCATTTCCTAGCTGAAACACCTCGTATACATAAATAATTATTTATCAAACATATATGTATATTCGTGCGAATTGAGAAAATGTAACTACGTATAACAACATTAACGCGTCATTTCTCAAGCGCACTTTAGATTTATTTTTAATACGACTACCGATAACGATGTGACGATGTCGATTGCCGTAAGAACGAGAAGGAAAGATGATAGTTCGTTACGCAATAACTCATCGAATTATTTTCGATCGTAAGTTTTATTCGGTGCGTCGATACTTCGGCGATATCGTCAAATATAACCAACTACAAAAAAAAGAAAAAAAAAAGATAAAAGAAATAAAATTGATAGTGAATCTTAATGGTTATTGAATAATAAATCGAAAAAGAGAATATTACTTTGAATATTAGAAAAATCTTTCCAAAAATTACGTGATATCAGAGGAAGCGGTCCAAAAATAATAAATGCAATTATAAAAAATGATTGTACAAAAAAAGTGAATTGTGCCAAAGGCATAGCAAACAAAAAATTAACAAAATAGTTTCTAATCTATCTCTTTCTATATTATCGAATCTGTTTTCTCTCTCTCTCTCTCTCTCTCTCTCTCTCTCTTTCTCTCTTTCAATAAGTAAAACGAAAATTAACAGACCAAAGTACGTAATCATAACGCCAATGCATTTTGACTTTCATCAAACAAAAAATGACCAAAAAAATATATATAATAAAATGAAAAGAAAAGTTTTAACGGTAAAAAAAAAATGTTTCATTGTCAAAGCCATCATTATTACTTTGAAGTATCTATTAAACGCGCGCATTTGTATGCGTGTTATGACACGCGCACGCGTGAAAGAATGGCTCGATAACTCGCTTTTCTCACGTTTTTCATCATCCACGGGAACCCGCGATCTCGCCAACAAAATCTCATTTTCAAATTGTCCAAGTTCACATGACCAATCGAATCGTAATCAATTGTATTATACAAATAATATTGATGCGTACTTCTCATTGATATAACAATTTTATGAAATAAAACCAATTATTATAAATATTATTATTATTATTATTATTATTATTATTATTATTATTATTATTATTATTATTATTATTATTATTATTATTATTATTATTATTATNTTATTATTATTATTATTATTATTATTATTATTATTATTATTATTATTATTATTATTATTATTATTATTATTGTTCCAGATAACGAATGAAAGAAATTTGAAAAAATGCATATGTAAAATGATATCGTTCAGGTTTCGCTTATACTTTGTTAACTATTCATAAATAAATAAATATTCATTTTCGTTTTATTTAAAATACGTAACACATAGCCCATGCCATTATAAAAAATCTAAACACATAAAGAGGATTGTAGATAGGAATTAATGAATGCAAATACCAGATTGATACCAGACAAAAATGATTAGATTCTTTTGATAAGCATTGCATCGAAAAGTTCTTATTTCGGGCGTCGCAACATCATCATTTTTCAAGTGACTTTTGTCCTCGCGACCACTTGACCTCTCGTTAACTACTCTCACCTAAACTACGATTTGTCGTCACGTCGTTCGTCACGTCGTTCGTCACGTTGTTCGTCACTCGGTCATAGTCACTTCGTCGGACGGTTTCGGGGTAGCGCTCGATCTAAAATTGCAATCAGTCTTTATTATTTCGTCCGATTTATTTCTTGCCAAGTTCATTCTCTTTCAATTCAATTTAACAAAAGTTCACGCGTTTTCTTTTCCAATAAAGTAGTAGTTTTAATCAATGATCATATCGCGCGATCAAAAACATTTCCGTAAAAGACATCAATAAAATGTGAATGTCTTGTTCTCTTTCTATGGACAAATCACGTATATTTTAATTAAAACACGGGAATATATAAACTTCCAGCTTCGTTATAGCTTCTTTTAATAACTCTATACAATGAATACATATGATGGATGTATATAGATAAGATACATATAAGAAAAACGATTATTGGATTCGTTCTAAAAGTAGCGCATAAATTCTTCTTTTACTTTCGTCAACGAGTTTCATTTGAATATTTCTGGCATATAATTATCGGAAAATCTTTTTTAGATAGCGTCTCTCTCTCTCTCTCTCTCTCTCTCTCTCTTTCTCTCTATGGAATGAGAAATAACGTCTAACCACTTTTTCCTGTTCTTCCTTCATTTCTTTCTGCTTGTCTTTTTGTCTGTTCAATCATATTTTCAAAGCTCAGCAAGTGCGAGGATAACATGGTAATGGGCAGCAAGGTAGACAGGTACGCTTTAGTGGAGGCGGAAGTGGCATTGGTAATGGACACATAGGAGGTGGTAAAGGACAAGGACAGCAGGGTCCAGGTAATAAGGGCAAACAGCATGGCGGTGGTGGACAACAAACAGGTCTCTGACATGGAGTGAAACAGCCGATCTCTTGAATTCTGGGCGGCAATATTACACGACATATCGGCTCTGGTGTCACGGTTGGACATTTGCTACAAAGTCAATTGAAATCGGCATTAAGCGTTAAAAAATATGTTTCTATGTTTAGATATTCTGTAAGGCATTACCAACAATCGATAGCGCAAATGAGATACTTCAACTCTTCCATGTCGTTCCAACATAGCGGCATCTCCTTTTTAATATTGCAACTCATTTTAATATTATTGCGAATGATTGATATTTTGAAAGCTTTTATACTTGAATTTACAGTAATAGAAGTCTAGATTATAAACATCGATGAAATTTAGAAAAATCGAAAATTATAAAAAAAATCGATAATCGATGCGTCGGTAAAAAATGACAGCACTATTTCATAGATCGATTATAGACATTTTTATCGGTTTACGTTAAAGATTATACGCCCTATTTTGAAATCTTTCTTTCTCAAGATCAATAACATTGATTAAAACATTTAGAGTGCATTTACACTCTGTTATAATATGTATAACTTGGCTAAACAATATGCCTATGTTCGATAAATCAACTGCTTACAAACGAATCATGTTAAAAATCGCATCGTACCTCCCTACAAAATTTCGTTCTATGTTTTTACATCCTGCAGGTAACACAGATGAAATATTTTGTAATGATTAGTTACATTGTCCGTCTCCTTGCAGGACCTACAACAGTATTTTTTTGGGCTCCAACCATGAAATGGGGTTTAGTAATCGCAAACATAGGAGATATTAATCGGCCCGCAGAAACGATTTCCCTAAGTCAAACCGCCAGTCTTATGTTAACAGGCGCGATATGGTCAAGGTCTTATTATCATATTACATAATATTACTACATACTGTATTATTATTAATAATTCTCCTATACATTTTAATTTGATAAATTCAAGCAGATATTCGCTGGTAATTCAACCAAAAAACTATAACTTGTTTAGCGTTAACGCTTTCACAAGTGGCACAAGTACATACCTTTTTGGAAGAGGAATATTATATCGTATGGAGCATGACAAGAAAATCATATGATGAAATTTTACAAAAAAATAATGTCATATGTAAATAAATATTTATTTGATATAAAATTATTTAACAGTAATACTGACAATACGAATATCGTCATAAGGCTTATCGGTCTTAGGATTTGTTTTTACTTGACTAATATTTTGTACTACTTCCATTCCTTTAACAACCCTTCCAAATACAGTATGTTTATTGTCTAACCAAGGCTGAAATGTTAAATAATGGCAAGGTTAATAAAAATATGAAATGTGATTGAATGACGTCCAACTTACTGTAAAAAAAAAAAAAAAAATACTTACTGTAGGTGTCAACGTAATAAAGAATTGACTTCCATTTGTATTTGAACCTGCATTTGCCATACTTAAAGTATATGGTCTGTCATGTTTTAAATGAGGTCTAAACTCATCTTCAAATTCACCACCCCATATACTTTCGCCACCCGTTCCAGTTCCAGTGGGATCTCCAGTTTGTATCATAAAACCTTTGATTACTCGATGGAATATATGCCCATTGTAGTAACCATTTTTAGAATGAACACAGAAATTTTCAACTGTCTTTGGTACATCTTTGCCAAAGAGATTTGCATGGATATCACCAAGGGCAGTATGTATAATTGCCGTGTCATAAATTTTTTGTACATTGCTGGCTTCAGTAAAAGATATAATATCTTCCTTAGAAGGCTTTTCATTGAAAACGTCTCTATCACATTCTGGACTCTTTATATCTTCTGGCTCACGTCTTGTAAACATATAAAATCTATTCTTTTTATGAGCTGTACAAAAAAGAATTGGATCCGGCCGATTCATTTCCATTGTAGGATTTTCAGCAGCTTCCATTTCTACCGATACTGCTGCTGCAGTTTTTCTTGCTTTGCCCTATACATAAATATATAAATATGCATAAACATAAATAAAAAAATTAAGAAGAAAATATCATTGAAGAAAATCTATACCTGAAATAAAGCTAATTGCATAGGACGTATATTTTCAGGTTTCCCCATTATTTTAATACACTTGTTTGTATAAAGATTCACAAGTTTAACACCTAACATTGTGCTATATAATATCAAATAGCCAGATTCGTCAAAAACTATATTTCCTATGTTTGTTTCGGTTTTATCTAATTCTCTTTCAACAGCCATTCTGAAAAAAAGTTGAATGTCAAGTTATTCGAGGTAATCAAATAAGATACCTCATACTGCATATTAATATTACAATATATAATACCTTCGTCCAAATTCCATATTTGGTAATTGTTGCGTACTTTGTTGCAATTCAGAAAATCTTTGAAGACTTTCATCGAATATTCTGTACAATTTACCAGTAATAAAATTAAAAACTCTTACTTTCCTATCTCCACTAAGAGATGCAAATCTTTTACCATCGTTAGATACTGCCAAACCACACGGATAAGTTTTATTTTTAGCAAATTCATATAAATCTGTATCTAATTTTGAATCAAATTTAACACATTTCGGAAATTTATACTCCGTTTTAGGTCCTGTCCAATATTCCAGTATACCCGCTTTATCAACTGATATACATGTTTCATAGACGGTATTATACTACAATAAAGTTTCAAATATATATATATAATAAATTCAATAATAAAATAAATTCAAATAATAAGTTATACCTTCATGGAAACAACAGGTTTTGTATGCAACTTGTCAAAAACATGCAATTGTGTACTAGTTCCTTGAGCATCATATATATATATTTTATTAGAATCTTGCGAAGATACAGCAACCACAGCAATCGCATCACCAGCAGAATATATCCATTCGGCACAAAGAGGTACAAACTCTAATTTTATCATATTAATCATATCTGTAAATGCAATATTTGTATTATGTAATGAAAGAAAATTCTTTGGAAAATTTGATTCATATTTCATTAGCAAAAATGTATACCTACCAAAATTAATGATATCAAATATTTTCATAGTTTTATCCAAACTAACTGTACACGCATGTATACCATTGGAACTTGCTGCCAAATATTGTATTGCTTTCAAATGAGCTCTAAAGTGTTTTACAAATTCTATCAATTCTTCTTGTTTCTTCCAAAATTTTAAATGTCCATCGCAACTAGCGGTAAGTATAAAATATGATCTATAATAACAAAAGAAAACCATTTAATTTTACATCTAATAATTATATTCTTCTGATTATAGAAAACACTAACTTTGTTACCACAATATGAGTTATTACATCTCTGTGCATATAAGATTTCTCATAACATTCACAGCACGGCAAATTACTTAAATATACTTGTTCATACTCCAAGACTGCAAAAATAATAATAAAAAAAAACATGGTAAATTCAGCATTATTTGTAAGTACAATCTTACAAAAATTATATCTTAATATTTTTATTTATTAGGTATAGAAATTGAATATAAACAAACAGGTTATGTATAAGCGAACCTTTTTGTTTTTTCTTTAATGGCATTTCTGAAGATGAATGATTAGCCCCATCATCATCATTATTATCATCTTCATCGTGTTTTCTTTTTTCGTCAGACATTATACAAAATAAAACACTTATATTCTTTATAAAAATTCTATCAGTTTAAATAGCAAGAAACAGCGCTACCAACGTGCACGCGGAAAATATCTTAACTATAAAGTTTTATACGTCGCATAATTGCACAAAGGCGATCGATGGGATGATTCCTAAATGCGATATTTTACCATGCGACAGATATTTTCAACATGTCCACATTTACATGACGGTGAACCAAAATGCATCAAAATTATGCACTTACTACGTACGTCGATAAAACAATTATAAAAACTTTATAAACAGATTAGAAAAATCTAATTTGTTTTCTGTTGTTTGTAATAGAGCATTTTACATAAATCTATTTATTCAAATGAAATATTGTAGAAATTTTCATGAAATAGACTCGCAACGACGATCAATTCGAGAGTAGTTTCGAGAGTATCGACGATTGGTCGAAATAGATTTACGAAATAACCATATTGTTTTTCGACCAATAACAATCAATGGCGGTCATAATAACGATGATTTTCAACAGATTACTATCGATATAGAATGACCGAATTAGATAGTCAAAAATAAAGAAAATTCTCGTATAATATAATATTGAATAAATTGATAAATTTTCAGTTAGTTTCGATAATAAGGTGAAAAGGAAGTTAGGGAAATGAAGCGCTGCACCGAGCACGTAGTAGATTACGGAAGACTGATCGGTCAAGGTGGGGATTGGTGGAGGATGAAGCAGGAGGGGGGGAGGCAGCGTTCATTGTCGTAACGGGAGAGTTTGGCGGGCAGCGCAACGGCGATTGGCCGGTCTTCCTTCTCGTAGTTAATGGTCGCCGTAGCTGATCGTTGGAGTATTCGGTTCAAGTTTTCACGAGAAGTACTACCTAGAACTTCCATTGTACAGCGACTGTATTGACGAAGCTGGAGAAGGCAAAGGATTCTTTCTTCAACAACGTTGAATTATAAAGGTGAGTTGAAATATTTGATTTAATCGAAGGAAAAGCCGCGATCTATAAAACCGCGAGGGGGGAGATAGATCCCGGAGAATTTCTTTTACGGCGTACGGCTCCGCACGTGGTCCTCTCTTTTGGTCTCTTTGCACCGCGCTAGAAGTTCCTTTTGTCGAAGAAAGTGGCATATTCGAAGACAATAGTTTCAACGGTAAATTCATTTTCAAATCTACTAATATCTTTATTACGTTAATCGTAACTTTTGTGAGCCTTAAATTATTTCCTCGAGTTCTCCTTTGGCAAGGCAAAAAAAAGTGCAGTGCGGCGTCACTCTCGGATGCCATCTTCGCGCCGTGGCGTACCACCGCTCTATCGAGTGGGGGCGAAAGCCACGTTGTACGACTAACTATGATTTCTCGCTTATATTTTTTAACTTTTTCATTTTTTTCCTTTTATCGGTTGTATAGAATAGTAGTAATACACGGCCGGACGCAATTTTCTTAGCATAATATGTTGCCTTTTGTCTCTCTCTTTCTCTCTCTCTTTCTCTCTCTCTCTCTCTCTCTTCTTCGTCTTCTTCTTCCTCCTCCTCTTCCTCCTCCCATTCTCTCTCTTTCTCGCTCTCGTCACCACTCCCCTTCTCCTCTCATCTCTTCCCTCCCTTGATTTACCGCCGGCTACATGGCAATCGGTGCGATGTGCTGTGTACTGGGTTCGTTCTAAGAAACACGTGCGTTTTGTTTTATCTTTCAGTTTAACATATTTATATTATTTTTTAAATGATCGTATAAACTTTAATGGTCTGTTGAATATTTTTTTGCAACATCGTTGATTAAAGGTCGTTGATCGGATACGAATGTTCGATAATGATGGACGGTCTTTGCAATGGCGAGCAGTTTCGTGTACTCTGCTGACATATTCATGCTTTTCCCGTTTTATACGCAACGCTTTATAAAAACGTTACGACACGTTTATTCTTTTCCCCCTAGTTTTTGTTCTTCTTAAACAGTTGAAATTTCCAAATTGTTCAAAAAGAAATATTTTCTTGRAACGGAACGGAACGGACGGAACGCATGCCATAGATGCGCGCGTGACCGCGCTTTCGTTTCACTACCTTATGATGCATATCTATGTCGACGTAATCGAACTAGCTCTACTTTATACATATGAAAGTAATCTAATTAAAGTTTGTTGATATTTATTAATTTCCAAATGTTCAATTTTATTATCTGCTACTTAGAAAAATTGAATTTTTGTTTGACACGAATGAATGTGAACATGAACAATGAACGTGATGAGTATAATAGATAATAAGTAGAAAATGAATAGTTTGGACAAGTTCCTCGGAACAATTGATTACACGAGGTTTATTATAATAATAATATACATGATTGCAGATCCATAAACAATGAGTTCGAACGCTTGTTATAAATGCAATCGAATGGGACACTTCGCCCGAGAATGCACACAAGGTGGTGGAGGCGGCAGAGGAGATCGTGGCCGTGATAGAGAGGGAGGATTTGGACGTGGTCGTGACAAATGTTTTAAATGTAACCAGTTTGGACATTTCGCAAGAGAATGTAAGGAGGATCAGGACCTCTGTTACCGTTGCAATGGAGTTGGTCACATTGCTAAGGATTGCCAACAAGTTAGTATATATATATTAATAGTAAATGTATTAAAGTAGTTAGAGACGAGTAGATCGGCAAGAATAAGATTGAAATATGGATTATTATTTTGTTTTGTTAGGGTCCTGAAATGAGTTGCTACAATTGCAATAAGACTGGACACATCGCTCGCAGCTGCCCAGAGGGTGTAAACGATACTGCTCGTTTTGCTATGCAAAGTTGCTACAATTGTAATAAGACGGGACACATTGCTCGTAACTGCACCGAGGCAGGAGGTAAAATTTGCTACATTTGTGGCAAGACGGGGCACATAAGCCGTGAATGCGAAGAGGAGAGGAAGTAGGAGATAACCCAAATCCGTGCCGCTTTCTTAAAAATAATGATAAGCCGTTTACCATCGTGCGCGCCACTACCGGGGATTGTAGCTAGGTAGGGATGTGCGGACGTTTCTCTCAACGACGACACACGTGTTATCGCAAAAGCGTGTTTTCGTGTTCGTCATTGCCGTTCGAATTTTCATCTCTCCATGCCCAACCCCCGGAGCTCTCCTCCCTCTCCCAAATCTCCTTCCCCGTGCCCACCGTTGTTCTCTTTCACATGGATTTTCTTATAATGTCTTTAAGTTTTTATTGCTGTTACACTACACCACACCACACATCCGCGCGCGCACAAAGTACATTCACACATGAGAACACATCTGACATGTACACGAATACACATACACACACTATACGATGTAATATTATAAACATTCAATTGAATTAGAGTAGCGACATAAATCCTCTGTCCCTTGACCTTTAAACTATCTTATACGTGAATTATTTCGTAATGCAAGATGTATGGATTTCGGAAACATTAATGAAGTTCGCAAGGGCCATCTTAAAAGCTGAGTGACATTGGATCAGTCCAATAGAGACTGTCTGTCTTTCTTCCTTGATATATTGATATGGAAATTTTATGAAATGACTGAAGGACTTTGTAATGTAAGAAAGGGATTTTATGACTGTGAGAATGATTGACAAATTAAAGTCGTATTCCTTTCTCATATCCACGCATCTTGTATTCGGTCCTCCCTCTCACTATCTAGCTGAATCACGTTAAATTTCAAAAGTAATGGGAAAGGAAAGGAAAGGAAATATGTAAACATGCTGGCCCCGAATGCATAAAAATAAGGTTTAGTAACGCCAATTTTTAACGTGTAAGGATGTAACGAGGTTCGCAGAACGATTATTTTTTAATAATATCTGCTTTAATAAAACTACAACATGGTTGTAGAACATGCAATATTTACAAATTCATAAATATACAATAGTGCTGGACCATCATGTTTTGAAATTTGTTAAGAGAAGCAGAACAAAGACTATTTGTGTAAGATTGTAATTAAAAAAAATCAGTATGGCCATCGAAGATTACTACGCTTTTTATGTATATATATATATGCAATTATGTCTATATATATGTATACATATATTTATATATTATATATATATATATATGCAATTGCAAAATTCATTCAAAGTTCAGGCATTTTATATACATTATTAAGAAAATATTAATAAAAAAAAAAATCACCGTGTTCGTATTTCCAAATGATCATATTATGGTCTCATATAGAAAAATAATTACTGTATTAACCTTATAATATCCTTACATGTGGTGAAGTACTTCGTTACTAGATACATGTGTGTGTATATATATATGTGTGTGTCTAAAAATGTATATACATATATAGATACATATACGCAGGAGCTGTATTTTGTACTGTAAAAAGCTAGTTATACTCTGGTCGTTGCTGGTGACTAATTCCGGTGGATCTTGTTTTTTACATCGCATACTAAAAAAAAAAAAAAAATAATAAAAATAAAAAAAAAGATATTTTCATGTAAAGTACTATATGAATCTTTTCTTTGTAAGTCGCAAAATGAAAATTCGTGAATACGCTTTACTTAATAACTTGAGCATTTAATAGAAAAATAAATAAAAAAAAACCGCATAATATCAACTTGATACATACTCAGAAGTTATAAAATTTCACACGAAATAAAAAAAGAAAAGAAACTCTACGAACTCTCTAAGAACGAATGAAGCTCTAGCTGAAAGTTGTTACTTTTATGCGAGTACAAAACTATAAAAGATTTCCTTGAGAATAAGGCATAAATGTAAGACTAATAGGTAATGATTTGTTTGGTGGTTATACAATGTTTATAAATAATAAGAAATGCTATTGGGATATGAATCAATCGAACTACCTAGTTCTTTAATTCTCCATTTTATCGAACACGGAGATATTGAAATTTCAATTGACGAAAAGATCGCACATGGATCTGTATTAACTCTAGGTAGATTCAACATGAACATCCCACGCAAAATGCCATTTATTATCGATGTTCTCTGCGATACGATATAAGTCGTTGTGTCATTAAACGTTGTTTCGTTGAGTGACGATACGAATTGCTGGGGTCATAATGCGTGATTTGTACATGGAGAATCTGATTTAACCAGCAGCGACAATGTGTATTAATGTTCAGAAGCCAGGCGTGCCTGACTCAGTGGAACAGAAGCGCACCTTGTGCGTTGTATTACATACGTAGTACAGGTGTCCTGCAAACCATTTTATACACTTAACTGCTCGGGACTTAAACCGATCTCATGCATGGGTTTCAGAAATAGTGAGTACTCAGTGCACCAGTGCGTCTGACGAGATTTGGAGGATCAGAAAACAAAAATTATATTCTGCTATTTGACTTGAGTAACCTTTGGTGCTCTCACTGAATGTGCATTCAGAAAATTCTAATTGAAATTAATCATCATTTTGGTCGCTACCCAAATATTTTGCATTCTCTCTCTATTATGGATGTTTTTCATTTCTTTTTTTCTTTTGTATATTGTATATGAAATACTAAGATTGGGTTGTTAAGGATTAAATTTTTAAAAGAACTACGTTCTGGAACACGCTATTCATAAGTCATGATCATTGGTGGCATCAAAGGTTCAGAAGAGCATTAAAAAAAAAAAAAAAAAAAAAAAAACGAAAAAAATACTAAGAGTGCGATTAGGGCACCTGCGCTTTTGTCTCTGCTACAAGACTTACGTACGAATATTGTAAAGAATACGACTGTTACAGTGTATGAACTAATTGGACCGGCGCACGCCCGGCCCGTGCCACACGCACGACTTATATTAAACTAATCTATTAATACTTAAAGGAAGAAGATGAAGAGGATGAAAGGAAAAAATAAATTACAAAGTAATAAAGGATTATGGAGTATTTGAAGTTATGTTTTTAAACTGAATTTTTGAAATAGAATGTGTACGGAGAGGCAAGTGCAGATCTTGTTTTTTCTGTTCCCTACACAATTTCATCTACCGAATCACCTTATAACTAGCGTATGCATCAAATAGCAACTGTATGATAGCCTATGATATACTTCATGTATTATTATTATTTATGTTTCAGTTTGAAGGAAGGATTATTTACTACAAATAAAATTTAAATGTCTAATTTCTTAGTTACCGTCCCCTTTTCGCATAATTATTTCCGCGTTATTAAAACGTTCATCAAAGATACTTTATTATATTAATAAATAGACAAGGTAGAAATTATTTCTTTATTTGAATTATTAATTTATAGTTTGTAAAAACGACGAAAGGGAAAAATAGTAAAATATAAAGCATATGCTGCTGTCATGGCTACGCATCGGTAAGAGATAGTAATCAATTGTTCCTATTTTTTTTTCTCGTTTTTAATCTTTCGCTGTATGCTACGTAAATGTAATATCGATTAATTTTATTTTACTAAATAATCGAACAATAAGAGGATTTGATTATTGCATGGATTAAACGCTCAATAAATTGTATAGTATTTTCGATAATTCTCGAAAGTTTCCACCAATAAGATTTAACATTTAGATATTGCTCGACTTCAAAGTCGATCAACAACAACTATGTCAAATAAATGTAATGTCATTGAACTAACTAAGAAGTTTCTTTCATAATAATAATTAAAGTATATAAATATATACCAAAGATTATGTCTCCCGTAAATGAAATTTTCACAAAATATCTATATATTATAGAATTGTTTTCATTCTAATGGACCAATATGTATAAGTTTTTCAACGTATGGTTAATCATTACACTTAGTCTACTAAAAATAATATGGAAAAATTTATTAGAATTACGCATACCATATTATAAGTGGTACGATAAGAAAAATAGTGTATGCATTTTATATTCTAGCAATAATTTTTTAGTTGTTCATAAACCTTATGATATGTTTATAAATAGTAATAGTCCAGAAAGGAAGGTAAGCAGAATTGAAAAAGAGAATGTTCATAACAACCAATCACTTGAGTCATTTATTTACAGATTTGTTAATTATATATATATATATATATATATATTAACTAAGATAGTTATCTAAGTTTGAACATTTCAGAATACGCTTCAGTTTGTTTTAAAAGAAATGTTTCCAAATTTGGCTAACCCAATGTTAAGCCATGAATTTCATTTTGTGCACAGATTGGATTATGCTACAAGTGGCATTATTTGTATAGCATTAAATAAGCGTGCAGCACGTGCTGCTTCTATTGCATTTGAAAAACAACAAGTACAAAAATACTACTTAGCGTTGTTACATGGTCATGTAAATGATTCATTTATTATAATTGATAAACCTATCGGTTAGTGTTTATACGTTATAAAGATATTCATCGGTTCAATTGAAATGAATGCTTTTATTAATTGTGCATTATGATATTTTGTTTATATGATTTTAAAAGTTGACAACTTTTCTATCGAAATTTATATACAATGAGCATAGTAGAAATGATTAAATAAATTGTTGTTTAGGTGATGACATAAGAGAACTAGATGGAAATAAAAAAATGTGTACAAGTAACAGCTTATATTGTATAAAGCCAAGAAAATCTCGTACTGTACTCTTAGTATTAGAATATGGTTTTAGAAAATGTAAACCTGCCACTAAAGTATTGCTATGTCCTAAAACTGGCAGAAGACATCAATTGAGAGTACATTGTGCCTCAATAGGTCATACAATAATAGGTGATTATACATATAGTGGAAGACAAGATGTGGAGCCCCATAGAACATTTCTACATTCTTTCAGGTACTTTTCTTACAGCTTCCAAATATAATATAATAATCATAATTTTACATTTATTTATAAATATAACATTTTTTAAGGTTAATATTAAAGAATAATGTTGAAAACTTAGATTTAAGGACAGCAGATCCTTTTGTATCTGCTGATAGAGCAAATAAATGGCAGCCAACAAATATTATTAGAACATTAGATGAAAATATATTTTCTGAAATTCTTGAACTTGCACAATAAAAAATATCTCTAATTTGACATTATATATTAACGTTTCACTATAATATATATTATTCTATTCCCTTAACTCCAGACGTAGTTATCTCATATCGTATAGTTTTGAATGGCAAATAAGGTGAGAAAGTAGTAGCATAACGAATAGAGTCTTTTCTAAATAAATATATAGAATTAGTTACCATACTTGACCATGTTATTCCTAAAGCAGGTTGTTCTTTAATGTCACAGTATTTGTTCCTATTTTCTATAACTGCTGATACCTATAAATTATTTCTTCATAAGTATACTTATATAAATTATATTTATAGATATGTGTAATAACCAGTATTTAGTCTGATGTTACCTGATTCAGACAAACTATACAAATATCATTATTTTGACATAATTTATGTAACTGTTGTCCCACAGTTCTTAAACTTTTAGATCTGTTTTTTAATTCATCATTCCATTCTTCTACTCTATATGGAGCAGCTATAGAATCAATTATTAGCAGACGTATATTTTGTTTTTTTAATAACAGTGGTACTCTATATATCAGAGATGATTCTAAGTCTTCCTAAATTTTAAGAATTACATTTTAGTACATTACATAATTGTCCCAGTAAAATAAATTAAACAAAGTTATATACTTGTATTCATAAATAAATAATATTTTATTACAATAGTTGCGATGTGTTCCACGAATACGATGTCACCATTTATATTGTCATAGTTTTTAATGGCATCTAAATTCTTAATAAATTCATATAACCGTTTTGATGGGAAAGTAGATTCGGTACAAATATATATTGCACCTATACGGTTATTAACAATAAAACAAAGTGAAATTATTCAAATAAATATTGATAAAAAAAAATACCAAACATACTGATAAAGTATCAATACTACCAGCAGCAAAGCCACCTGCAGTTAAAGGTAATTGTACAGTTAGACATAATTGAAGAGCTAATTGGGTTTTTCCAGTACCAGCTGCGCCATAAATTTGTGTAATACCTTGACAAGGAATGCCACCATTTAATATTTTGTCTATTTTAGGACAACCAGTTGACAAGAATTTCTCTTGCTTCTTTAAATCCTTTGCACTTATATCTATTAAGTTTATATACATCAAGATGTAAATATATATTTATATTTTATAATTCTTTTCAATTAAAAATAAAATTATATATACCAGTAGAGTCATCCATTACTTTTCTTGGAAACAAATGCAGTATATATACAAAAACAAATTGTAAGTGGTTCGAATGATCACAAAGAGGTCAGTCTACTTGTTAATACGTCCTAACACTTTTACATACGTGTGAAGATAATAAGTTTTACAAAATAATTATACATTTAAATGATTTTTTTTTTTATAGAATGACTTGTAATATTCTCGTATCATTTCTATGGAATTACATTTGTACTACATTACTATTGTAAAGGTTATTATTTAGAAATGTTTAAAGTTTATTTTATTATTTTCTTTCATAACCTCTCTCATTAAAAGTATCACTTATATACATTTTGATCATTGATTCTATTAGAAACTAACTTAGAATTTGTGTTAGATCATTTTTAAAGTTATATTAACGTATGCAACTAATTGATATTATAATACTAACGATATATATATATATATTTTTAATAAAATTTAACGTAATTATTATAAAGTTTATTAATAAATTTTATTTTACGTCATCATTAAATTTCATGAATATTTAGGTATATTGAACTAATGAAATAAAGGAATTTTAGTAATTGTAAGCTTGTTAATAATATTGATCATTTAAGTAGCTTACTACATTATCCAATAGTTTTATAACTTTAATAAACTTGTCAAACTTGTAATATCAATACTTGATATAACAAGATTTAAGTAAAGCTAATTTTATTATCCACATTAATATTATGAAAAAGATCATTTATAATATTATAGATTCCTTGCTGTGTGCAGGTAATCCACGAAATAGGTTTTCTGTTATTTGAAATCTAGTTAAAGAATGACGTTTTGGAAAATGCCGATTAATAAAAAAATCAATGTCTTCGTTATTATCAATTGCCTTCATAGTAGCTAATAGTTTTTCTTTATTGTAATTCATTGATTTTGATTTATCAACTACTTTGCAGTCACTTTCTTCATTGGAATTACTACAATTTTTACCAGTGTTGTGCCCTATATTAGTGCTAGATAGTGATTTCTTTTTTTTATCCATTTGTAATGTATTATTAACATCATTGTTTATTTCTTTAGTAGACTCCACTTTGAATCCATTAGGTATTGTTTTCTCATACTCCGATATGGAGTTTGTTGATTTATGTTGATCATCATAATTATGTTCATCTATCTGTTGTAGTTCATCTTTTACCTTATCAATAGAATAACTAATATTGTCATATATCAATGAATAATCTTTATCAATTTCTGAATGTTTTATTTCTTGATCAAGCTCCGAATGAACTGTCGAATATTTTTCTATACCTTCAGATTCATCTTGCTGCAAAGATATGGAAGTCGTTGTTCCATTTTCATCATAGGTATTTTGGGTGTCCAATTTCAAATGATTTAAGTTTTCATGGTCATTAATCAATTGATTTTTTTCATCCTGTATATGTATTTGGCCTAAATTATACTCGAGATCGTTCAATGTATTTTTTATTGAAAGATTTTCTACATTTTGTTCAGTTTTTAAAACTTTTAAATCAATGTTGTGTGTTGTATCATTAGTGGTCAAATCTTCTGAACAAGTGTCAGAGTATATTTTGTTAAATTTATCATTTTGTAAGTTAACAATAAAGCTATCTTTAGTAAGTTCTTCTTGATTTGTTTCAAAGTTACATCGATAATCATAATTATCTTGCTGTTCTAAAATTGTATCCTGTTTTTGAGGATTTTTATTATACGATATTTTTGTAGTAGAAAATTGTACATTGGATCCATTTTCTTTAGAGTCTGTCATATGAGAAACTAAATCATGATCTGTACTATTAATCATCCTAAAAACAGATCGCGCTTAATTATTATATTATAAATGACATTAAACGATTAATATGTATATCTTGTATTTTCTAACAAACCGTGTATATAAATCATGAGAATTTTTGATTGTATTCATCCAATGATAATTCCTATTTTTATCTTCATCATTTTCATGTTCACTATTAGTATAATCAGAAAACTTTTCCAATTGTTCATGCTGTTCTTTAGATACTTCATGGAAATTTTCATCTATTTTGCACTTATTTTCTGATTCCATCGGACTTGTCATATCATTTTCATCAGTTAACGCAATTCGAACATTTTTATTTAATTTTGATCCTGAATTTTTAAACTTTGGTACCAATTCATCAAATGAAAAAGACTTCATATCGTGTGACTCTTTTTGAAAATGTAATTTATGAGTTTGTCTCGAATCTATCATGATTTCTGTACAATTCAAATCTGTTTGTTGATTTGCATTTTTACCGCTAATAGTGTTATTAATCATATCATCATTTAATTGAGGTGTACTTAATGTAGGCTAAAAATTAAAATCACAATAATCAAACATCAAGAATATTTCAAATGATGGAAGTAAAAAATAATGTTTTCCTGTCTAAATTTACCAAGTTATCACTTTGTTTTTTATATTTGTTGGTTGTATTTAACTGCATTGATGAACTTGTAGTACTGAAATTCATAAATGAACAGATATAAAATAATAAAAGTCATTAAATTAATGAGAAGAAGTGACCTCTTAAATAATAATAATCATACCTTACATTCCTCAAATTTGTAAGTGATTGAGTTACCAAAATTTTATCTTTCTTATCAATTAATAATTGTTTTCTTGTTTTGTTGCTTACTAAATGTTCTAAATCTTTCACTTTTTCAAGTGCTTCTTGTAAACTTTTCTGCGTTTGTTTGTGCTTAGATACTTCTACAAATAATTGATGTTTCAAACTTTTACTTTCCAAGGCTAATTTTCTTTGTAACATCTGTTCAAACAATTGCAACAAAAAGATCAATTATCAATAAGAGAATATTTATTATTAAATAAATACTGTGATGATATATATTGTACTTGTATATTTTCTTGTTGTTGCATTATTTTGTTGTTTAAATCAGAAACTTCCATCTGTAATTTTTCCCTTTCTACTAAGTTTCGATCTTTACTGAGTCGTAATAAATGTTTATTTTGAGTCTATAATTAATATAATTTTGAATAAAAAATTTGTATATTTTCTTATGATCATTGGATGAATCATTTGTACACACAAGATAAGAAACTCACCTGCAAGGAATGCAATTCATTTTCTTTTTCTTTCAATAAATCAGAGTTTTTCTTATGTAAGGCTTTTAATTTTTTATGTTTAATTTGAAGTATTCTCAATTCTTCATGATGTGAATTAATAATTTTTGGTAACTCAGCAGTAGTTCCCTCATAACGCCTTAACGCAGAATCTTGTCTCTTCTGCAATGCTTTTAACAACCTGTTTTCGTTAGCCAATTCCTCAAAAATAAAAATAAAATTGTATTTGCTCTGTGTTATGTTATTATGATGATTTAAATTGACACATCCAGACAGATACGCTTACATTTAGATGATAATGTGCATCGGCAAGTTGATTTTGCAATTGTTTAATACGAAGCATTTTTGCAGATACAACTCTTTGAGCAAGAGTATTTTTATTTGCAGATTTTGCTAATACTGTACTGTTAGAACAGACTCGCATGCTATTTTTATATGATTCTCCTGTATAAATTATAGAATTATAGTCTTTCAAATATTTCATTTATTGCCTCTTTTGTAGAGATATATTTTTAAATATATAACGTACCAAGCAAAGGATGCAAACATTTTTTATTTGACGACGGGCACGTACTCCTACATAGTGAATAGCTTTTACTTTCCTCTATGTTATTTTGTTTTCTGAAAATGATGTATGTAAAAAATCATACAAATTATAAATAGATATGAAAGATCAATATGAAAATGAAATGAAATATACATATATGAATTTATTATGTGACACTTGAATATGGTAAGATTTAGCCCTCTGCAAGGAATATTATATATAAGGAATATAGTTTACCTATCCACATTTTCATGAATATTATTCAGATGCAATTCAGGTAATGTGGGCACTTCAGTTTGCATTTTGTAGTAATTGATTATTCGTTAAAATTGTCATTTTAATCTTGTTCAAAACAACTACACAGTATCAAAAGAGAATCCGGTTATTAGAAATGTGCATACCTAACTGTGTACGTAATATACTATCATTCATTGTTATGTTAACTGGTTACCCAGGTAACGTAGAATAAATATTTTCGTAATCGATGACGTAATCGTATATGATTATAATGCTAAGTTCTAAACTTTTTTACCGTATTAAATATGCTGGGTGTAAAAATATATACATAATAACTAAAATAAATACTTTTTATTCCACAGCCAATTCTACATAGTATTTACATTATCTTTCTTACTAAATATATGTACATTTAATACACATGTTTTACCGAATAAATCAGATAGAGGTAGCTGGTAGCTTTACACTTTCTTCAAAGTATCAAGATAAACAATGTAACATTCATGTATTAACATGTATGTAATTTTGTTCATACAAAATCTCTAATCACCTTGAAAATTCAACAAAAAGACTTAAATGAAAAAAGTAATCTCATCTTTTGAATAAATTTCATATTTTATATTTATTGCCTATTTTTAATTAATTGCTTCCTCCAGTTCTAATACGTTCATGTGTTTCATCCAAATATGATTGCATGCCAATACTTTGTGTTTCCCATAATTTATTATAAAGAGAATTGGGGTTCGATATGAGAGAAGAATGTGTTCCTTTTTCTATTAATTTGCCATTATCTAATACAAATATCTCATCTGAATCCATGACTGTAGATAAACGATGTGCGATCATTATTGATGTACGTCCTTTTGTTGCTCTTCGTAATGCTTCTAATATGTTCTGTACATATAGAAATATTAAATTTATTTCAATTAAAAATAAATATTATTACATTCTTAGAAATAATGACAAGCTCTTACATGTTCTGTAATAGAATCCAACGAAGAAGTAGCTTCATCAAAAATTAATATAGGACTATCTTTTAGGATTGCTCTAGCAATCGCCACTCGTTGTTTCTCTCCTCCGCTCAATTTTAGACCACGTTCTCCAACAGGAGTATCATAGCCTTGTGGCCATTTAAGAATTGCATCATGTAGATTTGCCATTTTAGCAGCTTCATAAACTTCTTCCTTTGATTTGCGTAAATTACCATAGTGAAGATTATAGAAAATTGTATCATGGAAAAGTACTGAATCCTGCCATTAAAAAAATACATTACTTAATTATTATTTAGAATAAATCTTTCTTTTTTTTTCATATTAAGTTATACCATACCTGAGGTACTATGGCTATTGATCTTCTAAGATCATTTATGTCAACGTCTTGTATATTTTGACCATTAATCAAAATATTTCCATTTTGAGGATCAAAGAATCGATAAAGTAGTCTAACTATTGTAGTCTTACTAAAACGATATATTCAATTACACATGATGATTTTCAGAAAAATGACTAATATTTATTGTATAAAT